ATCTGACTGTGCACCATGGAGTCCTTCATGTAGTGATTCTGGCGCGCTCTCACACGGTCCAGCAGCAGAGCCTCCGAAACGTTGAGAAAGACAAAGTGGACCTGGATCGTGGGGTGTTCGTAGGTAGCAATACGCATCACATCGCGATACTTGCGCTTCAGCGCACTGCAAGTGATGATGACCCCGGGGCTTTGTTCAAGGGCCCTAACAGCCTCTTCCCGCAGCAAGATTAACCAGTCCCATCGATCGGCGTCAGTGAGTGGTTGGCCGTTCGCCATCTTGTCCACGTTTGACTTTGGGTGGTACTTTATTTGATTGCCCGTCAGCCAAAAGCCACGTTTTGCCGATCCTTTCACATGCAACTTACTGCGTCACCTTCCAGATATGGAAGTGAGAGCGTGGAGTGAAGGTGCTCCGCGACTGAAGTCTTGCCACAACCTGCCGGACCAGTAATCACCCAGATGTGCTTCTGTGCAGGTACAGTTGCGAGACCGTTGGCGCTGCTTGTGTTGGAAGACATCTTTGCGAGGTTGTGATCGGAAGACTCAGAGGGCGGAGTAGGTGGTAGGTTTTGTCGAGGAAGGGAGTTGGTTTGCATGATCGCGGATGATCACAGGGCTTTGCTGGAATGATGGAGAGGCTTTGGTTATGTGGAATGAAGTAAGCCTGAGACGATGGCAGTTTTTTTGGTGTTTGCTTTGGTAAGGATCAAGGGAGGCCGGTGGTAGGTGGCAAGATGCGATSAGAGGAGGAAAGTCGCCGCTGGGCCTTTGTACACTGGGATCACTCTGAGACTTCCGAGAGTTTCCATCCGATGCCAATTGCCTTGCCGTACGCAAACAAAGAGAAACGTTCTCCTGAGTGGGGGTCAAACAAAATGGAATGATCGATGAGGGCGGCGGAAATCAATTAGCCTATTGTCGGCGTTTGAGGCTGATCCGAGTCGCCTTAACTTTCCATCACGACCCCAGAAGCTAGGTTCTTTGGCGGGGCGGAAAATGGTTTATCCCTGAACCTAGTTCAATGTGCTCTATAAATAATAAGAGCCGGGGCACAAGGTACCTGGCGATGTAGGAGGTGGTCTATAGCATCTCTTTGCATCGGAGGATGTTCACGACTGTGGCGTAAAATCTAGTATCCTGGCTCTAGTGCGTTGGCAGCGGATCAATTCTAGCAAAAATGTAGCGAAATCGGATCTCTGGCCGTCAGGAATAAAGGTTCCCTTGCAAAGCGACGCTGTTATATCCGAGAAACTATAGTACCAAGGACGACCGATTTGAGACTTTGTTCAATTCATCGCTGCAGTTGCTCTAACGCCCGAATCTACCCTCCATTATCCTTTTCGTCATGAGTCCCTTTCCCAAACGCCTTGATTGCCTGGTTCATACAATGTTGGAAGGGTATACGACTTCCTTCAAGCTCACAAACTCCTCCTTGATCGACCGCATGCTCACAAATCTCGACAAAAGGTTTGCAGACCCCGCCTTGTCGTTCGTTCCCGAAGCTCTCGCACCACCGAAGGGCTGCTGAGCAACAACAGCTCCGGTGGACTTGCAATTGAGGTAGAAGTTACCGGCAGCGTTCCTTAGGGCATCCTCAGCGAAGCGCAGAGCGKTTCTGTCCTGAGCAAAGACAGCGCCAGTCAATCCATACTCGGATGTGGTGTCGATTGTCTTGCAGATGTCGGAGAAAGCCTTTGTTGGGTTCTTAGTGTCGTCGTAGATGTGAATCGTGAGAATGGGACCAAAGAACTCCGTGCTCATGTACTTGTGGCTTGGATCCTTGGTGACGTAAATCGTTGGGTGGATGAAGAAACCTTCAMTACCGTCGTGCACACCGCCGACGAGGAGCTCCAGGTCTTTGTCGTTTTTGGCGTCGTCGATGGCTTTGGAGAGTTTGTCGAAGGATTGCTGGTGGATCACGGGTCCGATGAAGTTCTCAAAGTTCTCTGGTCCGCCAATCTTCAGCTTCTTGGTCTCCTCGACCAGCATCGGCTTCGCTTGTTCCCAGAGACTAGCAGGGAAGTATGCTCTAGAGGTTGCCGAACATTTCTGTCCTTGATACTCGAATGCGCCTCGGACTGTGTTGATAACGGTATTGTGAACATCAGCAGACGGATGTACCAGATGGAAGTTCTTGCCACCAGTCTCGCCCACAATTCGTGGGTAACTCCTATATCTACCCTCAGCAGTGCCCTGTCCGATTTGTCCATACAATGAGCGGAAGACGGCAGTCGATCCAGTGTAGTGGAGAGCAGCAAACTCTGGGTGCGACAGAACAGCTTTAGTAACCTCCACGGCATCTCCTGGGACAAATTGGATTACATCGCGAGGAAGGCCGGCCTCCAAGAGAATATTGTAGAAGAGCCAGTTCGATGCCATTGCCGCTGGGGATGGCTTCCAAACAACCACGTTACCCATCAATGCCGGTGCGCATGGCAAATTGGCGGCAATGGCTGTGAAGTTAAAAGGTGTAATTGCGTACACGAAGCCCTCAAGGGGCCTGTACTCAACTCTGTTCCAGACTCCAGGGCTGTTATGGGTGGGTTGCTGGTCATACAAGTCCTGTGCATACTGCACATTAAACCGCAGGAAGTCTACGAGCTCCGCTGCAGAGTCAATCTCAGCTTGCCACGCATTCTTGCCCTGACCCAGCATTGTTGCAGCCATGATGTCGTATCTGTATTTTCCTGCCACGAGATCAGCTGCCTTGAGAAAGACAGCCGCTCTGTCCGAGAATGGCAGACTTTCCCACGRGCTCTTTCCAGCCAATGCAGAATCGATTGCAGTGTTGACATCGGATGTTGATGCACTGGACCAAGATGCAATCGATTGCTTGTGTGACATGGGGAATGGCTGCTCTGAAACCTTCGCGGTCTTTGTCTCTTTCCCAGCTACTACGATTGGGACTTGGAGGGGAGCTTTGGAGCGAAGGGTTTGCATCGCGGCCGCGAGCTTCTCACGATCGGCAGAGTCCTTTTCGTAATGTTTCTATATATTGTCAGCTTCAGATGAGCATTTGGTCTGATCATGCTCTACTAACATTGGGCTCATTGTTGATGACGGGAATCTTGAAGTTTGCAAGAGTTGCAACACTTCTCAGCCCAAGGGATGTAGGCGACGTTGGCAGAGAGGCTCCGATGCGTGATTTGCATGTTTGCAAGCCTCTTGTGGCCATTATTGCGAGTTGTTGTGTTGCTGTTACTTGGTGAGCTATCTGTATATATTTGTCGATCAGCGGCTATTCACGGCGTCTTGCGTGTCTCCAGATGCTTCACATTTCGGCGCCGGTACCGGAGTATCGCCCGCCAAGAGTGCAGCGAAAGTGAAAGGCGCGTCCAACCCCGGACGCGGTGCGGCCAGCATCGGATGATGATATCAACGTGGAGTTTTACTCTTCGGTGCTTCAGCGGTAGTTCTACAACGGTAATCTCTAGACTAGCTCTACCGCATTTCTACCATCATGACCGATGGATCTTCCAACAAGGTCTTCACTCTCTCCGCGCATCTCGCGCACTCTGCCCCATCAACGACCCGGTGATCAGCACTCCAGCTGAGTACAAGCTCTTCCCTCTTGACCAACTCATCATGCTCGTTGAACGCCGGGACAACCCTGGATCTGCCCACCCCAAGAATGGCTACCTGCGGCTCTGAAATGACGGGAGACACAACGCCTCCGCCCACAGAACCAATGTTCGAGACTGTGAAGGTAGCACCTTTGAAGTCTGACGGTGCGAGCTTGTTGTTGCGCGCAGACTCTGACAGTCGCCGCATGGTCTTCGCGATCTCAGCAATGCTGAGGTCTTGCACGTTGTGAACGACTGGCACCACCAGTCCTGAAGGCRTATCGATCGCAATACCGAAGTTGTGGCACGCCCGATATGTCAACTCTGGCTTTTTGGGATCTTTTGTGTCCAACGAGGAGTTGAGCAGCGGGTGTCGTAGCAGGGCCAAACTCAGAGCTTTCATGATGAAAGCAAGATGTGTGATCTTCTGTTGCGAAGATGTGCTGATCTTCTTCCGCATGTTTGTGACAGCCGTCATATCTGCCGAGCATGTGTACAGGAAGTGGGGAATGCTCAGTGAACGAGTCATTACCTTGAACATCTGTGTCTGTACGGGCGTGAGAGTCACCCTCCGGTCATCCTTGGTTGCTGGTGCTGGTGCTGGCGACGATGCTACTGAAGGCATTTCTTGTGACTTCTCATTCCGCTGGGAGACGAAATTGTGGATGTCCTCTTTCAATACTCTGCCATCCTTGCCTGTGCCCTGCACATCCGTGATGTCAATGTCAAACTCCTTGGTCAGATGTCTTACTGCAGGTGTTGCGAGCGAGCCCATGTGCCCTCTGCTTTGGCGTGGTTGAGAGCGTTGTGGATCTTTCCGTCTACTCTGTTCACTGAGCTCTTGTTCTCCGCTCCCTGCCTGCATCTCACTGTGTTGTGCTACTGTTTCTGCTTTCGAGCCATTGCCCACGCTAGTGTCTGCCTCTCCTTCACCCTCTCCTCCTAGCTTGGCCTCGTCTTCGGCACTGAGCTCTTGCTGGATATCAATGTCTACCAATGGCTTGCCCGTGATAGCCATGTCATCGGGATCGTAGTGAAGCTTCTTGATGACTCCATCGAACGGGCTCGTAATTTCCACTGACGCCTTGTCCGATTGAACTTCGCATAGCTTGTCAAACTGTTCAACCCTAGCCCCAGGCTGAACAAACCATTGGATCAATTGGCATTCGGTAATACCTTCGCCAATGTCTGCAAGTAGGAATGGTTTTACAATGTCGAGTTGTGTTGACGCGTGGAATTGGCGGTAGAAGAGGGGACGCGGGAGACTGTTAGGGCGGACTTGCGATTGTTGTCGTTGGATGCGGAGCACTCTCGAGAAGGACGACCTGGCGGTACTCATATTGGCGGCGAATATGTTTTCACAGGAGTGGAATTGCTGGCATTGATCATTTCTATCTTGTTCATGAGTGGAGGTGGAGGTGGCAGAGCCGAACTTATTAAGCCGTGGATTCCCGCCTTTTGGGTGACGCAGCTCGCATTCCATGGGAGTTTTCCTGGCCTCAGGCGTCAACTCATGAGGCTCTGAAGTGCTTGTAGGGAGAATGCTCCCTAATTGACCTGTACGTCCAACATCTATGCTCCTTACTTGATAAGTCAATCTCGTTCCACATCGCTAAAGCTCAAAATCGTGCTGCTCCTCGAGCACGTCCAACCGAGCTGGTTCTCATTCAACAGCGCATCTCTCAGCCAACCGACATCATGACAATCTTCCTTAACACGCCAGAATCAACTGGCTTGAATCTCCTTTGCTTGCCGCTGTGCAAGTTCGCTGTTTTCTGGCGCCTGCCGATAGAGCACAATCTCACTCTGCTTGAAATACCGCCTTGAATCCTCATCAATCAACACCAAAGATAGGTAGTACCGAGTGCTGTACTTTTTGTTGACATCGCGGAATGTGGGCGTGAGGTCGAAGCCGCCGAGGAACAGTCGAATGGGAATCGTCTCACCACGCGAGGGCGAACCGTCCATGATCTCGAAGCGCACCAATGTTTCCGACTCGTTGTACTGATTTGGCGGTGCTCCCGTTGTTTCCCTTCTGATGATAGAGAGTTCCATATGTCTGATCTTTAACCGAACCAAGAGGAAGTAGATGCGGCCCACAATGACATCCTTCAGATGATACTTGCTCTTGCTGTATTCGAATTCGATGTGAAGACAGTCCTCGATACCCACGTCCATTTTGATGACGCTATTGCTCTCGGGGGGTTGTCGGTATGAGTACACCCAGAGATCCTTCTCCCGCACCACGTCCGCCATTCTTCGCGACACTGTCACTCGGAGGAAGTATCTTAGTTTGACATTGATGCCGTGGTATGATTCGTATGGCTTCTCAACATTCTTGAAGGCGAACGGTAGCGTTACCGGATGCTGGAGCTCTCCAGGCGACGCCAATTCTGTTTGGAGGGAGAGAAACTCATGATGTGTCCCCCGGTCAAAGAACATCTCGATTGTGCCCACGAACTGGACCTTGATGCCCGTATGCTCCAAACGCTTGCCATCTTTTGGTCGTATTGTGACTGCGCCCTTGAGAGTTTCTCCATCCAGGTACAGCGGGCACTTCTCGCGCCGATTCTTGTCCAGCTTTACATCGACAGTGGCTCTGTCGTCGGTATTGTCGAGGACTATGTCAATGTCCAACGGCGTGGAGAAGCTGAACAAAGACATGTTCGTCCAGTATGCCGCCGAGGATGGAGTGGTGGGGCGTTGGGTGTTATATGTTCAATGCGATCTGCTTTGAGGGTTGCTGCGTAAGAAGAGCTGGGCTGTGACATGGAAGAGACCCGACGCCGACGAATGGGGAAGCTTGGGCTTTCGGACCCACATCTGCACATGCACATGTTTGCAAAGCACTTCTGTGCTCCATCACTTAGGTTCACGATGATCATACCGTACCCCAAAAACGCCATGGTCTTGCTAACAGTCACGGGAGTATGCTCACATCTTATAAAGGCCTTGGAAAGAGACGTTGACCGTCATCAGTTTACACACTTGATCAATCTCCTATCCTGTAATCATCATTCGTTGATACTGTTGTCTCGTGATCCTAAGCACCTCCCTCCCGCTTGGCATATTCTTCCTCCATTCTCTCCTCGTACAACTTCTGCTCGGAGTCAGCCATGGTACATCGGATTGTGATGCTGCGCAGACACACCTCAGCAGCCGCTTCGGCACTTCCGGGCTTGCTGCTGCTCATGCWGCTAGACTGATTGCGGGCGGTCTGATCGTGGGTGCCTGCAGCTGACTGCGAGTCCTTCGGCACTACGTTGTTGCCACCCACAGCAGTTTCAGAAGTCGATGGCGTCTCGCTCTTCAAGCCTCCCGCTGTATGGCCCAAGGAAGACATAGTCCCGTAGCTGGCGTGTGTCAAAGTGAAGTAAAGTGAAGTTGTTTGATGAGGGAGGGTGTCTTGAACAGCAGTTGCGAGTTCGAGTCTGCTTCTCAAGTACATGTAGTACCCCCAAGGTTCCAGGCTTTGTAGATGAGACGGGATCCTCGGTGCTCATCCACTTTTTGGTGGGGTGTGACGTGTAGGTCGCGTTCCTGCCAGAAGACGCTTAAAACTTTTGGAGATTCGTCCAATCCTCGAACTTCGCCCACCCGGCTGGATAGAAACAATCTGCTCATTCCGCCATGGCGCCGGCGAAGAAGGGTGGTACGACGGCGCAAGCAGGTGCACCTCCTCCTCCTGGCAGCTCGAGTTTAGTCATATCACGAAACAAGTAAGTATGTCGTCCATTTCATTTCTTTACTGCTCTACTTTTCGCATTCGCGCCTGGCTTTCGAGAGATTGCGACCGAGACTGACTTCGTCAAGACATTGGCGGTATATTTCATCCTTCCATGGACCATGGCTCCAGCTACCGCCCGAGATCCTCGACTCGCTCGCTCACCAGAACTACACGATGCCGGCCCCGCGACTGGTTGACCCTGCGGTATTCTACGATGTGGTGAGGATCCGCAAGGCAGTGGACGAGGCGGCGCAGGACTCGGTGCGCGCATCGACGGGAGTGTCTAGTACAGCAATGCATGGGCGTATGGATTACTTCGGCACAGGCGGGGGGCCTGGTTCTCAACTGAGCAAGGAGCGCATATTCAAGATCCGGCAGAAAGCCGTCAAGCTACTTTCAAAGGCATTCGCCCTGGATGAAGTGGCGGCAAGTGTGGCGACGATGCAGGCAACATCTACGGTGGAAGACGTTGGACAGCATGTTCTCAAGAGAGATCCCAACAGCGCAGACGCCCGCTACGTCCACTTCTTTCACGAAAAGATTCCTTCCAGAGCGATGGAGCAATACACTCCACTGGAGCCTCTAACCGACATCATCGCATCATTGCCGTTTGAGGAGCAAGCGGCACCTTTACGGACTCGAGCATTGGTGCAGATATTCAAGCATCAGTGGGAGGGCGCGGCATTGGACCTCACAATGGCCATACGGATTACGGAGGAGATGAAGCGCGTACACAAGCCAGATCAGCAGCAGTTGGAATTGGCTAGCAAGATGAAGGAGGAGCAGGATGCCTGGCGAAACGGACACAGGGATTGGAGATCAGTGCCTCAGCTGAAGGAAGAGGATCAACCTAGGGGCTTGGGAATGCAATTGTTATTCAACAGGGCGGGGGTCTACCTTACGATTGCATGTCAAAGCGTACATGCTGCCTTGGACGGGTTGAAGGAGTACCAGGCTGCACAGGCAAACGGTGAGGCTTCTGCTGAGGATGCAAAGGCACAAGCTGCGCGACTCGAATCACGGAAAAAAGTCAAGACGTATGCAAAACGTGCGATGAAGGATTATACGGCTTTCTTGTCCCACTTTGACTACACCCCTGGACTACCGTTCGAGATCACCAATGAAATCATGCGACGCGTGTACGATCTGGCCAACGGCAAGAGGACACACGCACCACTGCCAAAGAACCGCCTTGTGGAGCTGGATGGCGACACGGAGGATGATTTGGACCAAAACGGCAATGCCACAGCCTCGGCGCTGATCAAGCAGGAGAAGACCAAGGCCGAACCCTTTGAGCGAGGCGAAGATGGATGGCCTCGCTTCCCATCGCCGAAGATTCATCCTGCCAGCGCCCTTTTCGCAGAAAAACCACCTGCCGATCTGCCTACGTTCCYAAACGCCGAAACCACCGAAGCTATGCGAAAGAACGAGACAATTCACGAGGCTTTTGGAAGTCGTGAGGCCGTTACGTACCACCCTCTCCTGACAGATGCGCTCCACTCGCTACTTCWGGCGCATGCGCTCATTCAGACGAGCCCGACGGAATTGCTCCGACATGCACACAACGCCGCGCGCCTAGCCCGCATCGCCGACGGATATCCGATTTTCCAGGCTGCCAGAAGTCCAGCTCGCGCCGATTGGATCGAAGTCTTGCGGCGTGCGAACAATTGGCTCGGTCTCTCTGTGCCCTGGCAGAAACTTTGCGCTCCGGCACCCCTACCCGATGCTGCGGGAGGTTGGGCGAAGGAGACTGGTTCTGGTGCTTTGGCTAAGCGGCGGGAGAAGAAGGAGGAGACGAGCGAGCAGAAACGCGAGCGCATCAAGCAGGAGTCCATTATTGATGCACTGTCTGATGACCGTGTCGTGGACGAGGATTCTTTCCAGAAGGCTGTCCGTGCTCGCGAGAGACGTGCAATGGAAGACGAGCAAGGTCTGTCTGGTCCGCTCAAAGACAGAGACCTCGATTCGACCGCTTCGAGCAAYACGGGTGATGGTCTACCACCTCCTAAGCGATGGGCACAGGACGAGAACGGCAAGGAATATCCCATCTCTACTGATCGGGCTGCTGCTATTGCGAGATGGATCAAGGAGTCTCCGTTGTCCATGGGCGGGGGAAAGAAAAAGCGTACCACCCGGAAGAAGAAGCCTGCTAGCAATGGTGTGCACGCAGCGACAGAAGGCGTGAACGGGTTGTCAGTGGACAACGAAAATGAAGAAGGTCCGGATTGAGCAGACCAGCACCGATCACAGGAAGGTTTTGGAAAGTCTCGATGTCAGGAAACCAGTCTAAGGCATGCCGCGGGTATCAAGCGCTTGGTCAAATCCAGAATTCCACATTGCCACTCCACGCGTTTCTTCTCGTGCCATTCTCATTGCTTCTGGGCTTCATTCTGTGCCCTCAATTCCATAACGACGGTCTATTTGGCTGTTAGAAATATCGCGATAATTGCGCGCTCGTTCATTCTTACCGCTAGGGCTTCAGGATTGACGCCATTCTCAATCAGTGACACACAGTAGGAGAGGGTGTGGCGATCCAGTTGTGTGTTCTGTCTCTTGTTTAGTGGATGTCTAGCACGTTGCCATGAAGCTGCATACCAGCAGAGTCGATATCTCGTTCAGAATGTCGATCGTCTCACGTGCGGCTTTTCGTTTATCGTCCGCAGGAGGCATGGCGCGTAAAGTCTCGATTGTAATTGTGTCGTGTTGGTGTTTGCGGTTAAATGCTAGCTGGGGATACCTAGAGCTGGAGTATTATGGGGACCTCGACTGGCAAAAGAACTGGGAATCCTCGGGCCACAAATTAAGACCACCAACTTCACCACATCTCCTAACAATATTGTATCTATCAGAACATACGAGATGCATCTCGCAATCAGGAGCGCTTGGAAACTGGAAATGCCTCGATAATACTTGTCACGCTCTTGGGACGCGAAATGGAGGATTTTCCGCAGGCATATGTTGACACGGCATCACCGCTCGTGATTCTTTCCGGGCTTGGGGATGACGAGAACGCGAATCAAACGGGCTTTGGACAAGACAGCGGCGCTCGCATAATCACGGAATCTCCAGAGTGTCGTACAGAGCAGGCGAGCAGATTGTTGCAACAGTTCGTAGCCCTAGGTGGAAACAGGTACGCAGCAGAACCGTCCGGAAACATTCGGTGCAAGATCAAGTGTATAGGGCGACACTATACCCTGCCAGCACGAAAGTCGGCCCCCATCGCAAATCAACCAGGTGCAGAAGGAATTCCAATACCGCGGAGCACAGAGCTGCATTCTCCCCTGTCACCGCTTTCTCCAGGCTCTCCTGTCTTCCCGGATGGWTTGTTCTCGCCAGCCTGGTTTCTCAAGCATCAATACCAAGTTCCTTGCCTGCTATTGACCTTCTTTTCTCTCAATTCTGGAGAGGGCAGCTCTCAAGATGAACGAACGAAGAGCGATATCAACGCGGTGCGAAGCGCTCTTCTTCGATCTGGATTCAAGACGCGTTTCGCAGCGGTACTCATCAGTGACGCGAGCATCATTGAAGCGCCAGAGATGGAAGAACGTCTGGCCTCCATGAAACGAGCCACTAACCTGGACTCCAAAGGACTTTACTTCATGCCTCCAATGTCCTCCCAGGCAGAAATCGCTAGTTTTGTTCACAACATCATGGCGACAATGCAGCCCTCTTATGTTGAATACTATCGTGATCTTACGAAACATTCACGTAGGAAAAAGGCTCGTGGCGGACCTTCTCCGCAGGCATCTTTGCCTGTCGGTGGAGCTTCGCACTCAACATCAACATCAGGGTGGAACGTTCGATACGATGTCAAGATGGGTGTTTTTGCGGAGTTTCGTGGTGAAATGGACGTCGCTGAGAGGCACTTCTCTGCGGCGATCGAGGAGCTGTTCAGCTCTGAAGGGGGTGTGCTTGAGACGACTGCGAATTGGAGCCCAAGGTGGGACGAAGCACGAATGCTCTCCGATTCCATCGCGTTGCGACTCATTCGCTGTCAACTTTGGACTGGACAAACGAGCGGTGCGGCGCAGTCATGGCAGAATTACAAAGTACGAATGCAAGACCTGATAGATCGCCGCGGCAAAGGATCTTTAACATACGGTTGGAGTGCGTGGGAGGCTCGGTGGGCCAATATCATGTCCCAGTTGATCCAATTGGCCGAGATACCAACCTTGCAGAAGTCTCTCAACGGCACAGAATCGTCGTTGGACATTACTGCCCGTCAGGTATACGCACTCCCAGAAAAAGGAATTGCGCCCTCTGATCGCCTACCGCCATTCAATTTTTTACATCACTCCGGCTACTGGTTGAGACTGTTTGCTATGGGCATAAGAAATCGCTGGACGAGAGCTCTTGCTATTCCTGATGAAGACCGCGTACCGCCAGGACAATCTCCAGCATCGACTGTGGCGAATCGTTTCGTGACCTATGACACCTATCTAGTTCCGGAGCCCCACGAAGAGATGCCACTTTCTGGTCAAGGATCCTTTGATCATGTGGGGGAGCTGGGAATGGTATGCATTCGCGCTGTTGAAGAGTTCGAGGCGAGACGCCAGATACGCCTGAGCGAGCAAATACGTCTCGAATTGGCCGAGGACTATGTCCGCGTCGGTCGATACTCTGATGGTCTATCGGTTCTCATTCCACTGTGGGAAGAATCCACGTGGCGCGAAGACAAATGGGTAACTATCTTTGCGAGAGTGCTGCATTTGCTGGTTGAATGCATCAAACACTCCAAATCTGCGTCAAATGCTGCATTGATACCAATCTTGACCTGGGAACTGCTCTCTATAGGATCTCTTGGTACTCCAGAGCAATCTCTAGATATGGCAGGGTGTCTCGACGACTGGGAATCTCATGAGCATGTTTCTATACATGTGCAGGACAAACAGAGACGTAGCCCAGTCTCTGTTGCATTTGCTTTCAAAGACATTTTGGCCCACGTTGGAGAAGCCTTTGGCTGTCAGCTCGTACTTGAGAACAATGGGTCGGAGACGTCGCCGCCGTTGCAAATCTCTAGCCTTGAATTTAGCCTTGGGGAGACAAAGTCAATCACCATCAGGCATGAGGCGGGCATCAAGGATGCCATCATCACACCAGTGTCCGCTGTTGCACTCCACGAGACTGACGACGGTAATTTGCAGGGATCGGCCGATCTCACGTTGCAGGCTTCTCAGAAGAGAATATTGGATCTCTCCATAGTGATGAGGACCGCTCAAATTTTCTCACTGACAGAGCTTTCACTTCGTGTGAAGCACTCGAGGTTCACATTCACGCATAGCTTTGCAGAGGATAGCATCATTCCGAGCAGTGCTTGGTATTTTGAGCAAGATGGCGACGTAAACACTGTGCTTATCCCACATATGGACACGAAGAGCATCGATGTTCGCCCGAAACCACCCAAGATGCAAGTGCTGCTGCCTGGTCTACGCAAACAGTGCTATTGTGACGAGAACATGGTCGTACCTGTGACTCTCATCAACGAAGAATGCGAGGCCGTTCAAGGAACGGTCATCTCGAGCATTGTGAGCGAGGCTGGAGATACTTTCGATGTCAGTTGGGCTCCACATGAAGAAGCTGTCCGGACCATATCGAAAATGGAGCCATCCACGGAGTCATCTGCGGATTTACTGATCAAGGGGCCGCCTGAAGCAGCCATCTTGACTCTAACGCTGATCCTTCGGTACCACCTGCTGTCCGACCATTCAACGCCATTGGAGAAGACCTTGACGGTTGAGCTTGCATTCGTGCATCCATTCGAGACCAGCTTCGCGTTCAACCCTCGTTTACATTCTGATCCTTGGCCAAGTTACTTCGATAGTGCTGCCAAAGATTCGGAGGATGCGCCAGAGGGGATTATTCAACTCTGGCAGCTTGAAGCACATGTAGCGTCTTCAGTCGACCATGCTCTGACGATCAATAACGTTGAGCTGGTAGTTGATGAAACTCAAGGTGATTGCAATTGTGGTATCTCTGAGAAAGCGATGGTTCAAGATGAAAAGATACAGCCGAAAGAGAAAACCACGCCTACGTTCGAGCTCACCACGAGGAAGCTTTCTCTCGATGACCGACGGCCAAGCTACCTTTTTTCGTCCCTCGTTGTACACTGGTCGCACGACGGTGGTTCCGGCGTCTCGACCACGACGATCACCGTCCCACGCCTCACAATACCGACTGCCGAGCCCAGGGTGCTGTGCGTGGCGAGGAACACCGAAAAAGACACCGTTACTCTCGAGTATCATTTGGAAAATCCGTCGATACACTTCCTTACATTTGCTCTGAGTATGGAAGCAAGCGAGAGTTTTGCGTTCAGTGGTCCAAAGTCCCGTGCGTTGAGTCTAGCACCACTTAGCAGACACCAAGTTGATTATCAACTGGTTGTGCATCAGGACATTGACACCGGTTCAGATGATGCTCAGGGTTTCTGGATCACACCAAACCTCTCGGTGGTGGACTCTTTCTACAATAAGAGCCTGAGGGTCCAACCCGGAGGGCCTGGAGTCGAGCTGAATGGTGAGAAGCAGATATCTGTCTGGATCGAGAAGCTAGACGAAACTAGCCGCATTGGTCACGTGGCAAGGTAACGACGGGCGGAGCGGACCGCTTTCTCCGCACGCGTCATCAGCGGAAGCTTTCAGTGAAATCCATATGCGCGTCAACTTCAAGATGGAGACAGACGACCCAAACGCGAGATTCGCAATTCACGCCGCCTGCCGTGAGGGACAAAGTCAGCATTATCGTATCTTGTTGCCGCTTCCATCTAACAGGAATAGTTCAAAAGGTCGAGGCTCTGCTTCACGCGGACGCAAAGCTTTCTCGCCGCCGCGACGAGGATGATCGATTGCCATTCCACTGGGCCGCAAGTCACAATCGCCTTGATATCGTAGACCTGCTCTCCGAGCAGAAGGGTTTCGATGTAGACGCCCAGGATGGCGCGGGCTGGACGGCGCTCCACATGGCAGCCAGCTTGAAGGATGGCGACGACCTGGTCGACTTCCTACTGGCGAAAGGTGCCGATCCCAACATCAAGACCAACAACTCATCAACCGCACTCTTCTTCGCTGCCTCTAAAGGCAATGTCGATACTGCTCGCAAGCTCGTCGCACACAAGGGTTCTGCACGAGTGAAAGACACGCGTGGTCAGATGCCACTACACCGGGCGGCTGCGGTGGGCAACGTACCGATCTTGAAGCTGCTACTGGACAACAAAAGCCCGATCAATGCAACGGACATTGATGGGAGCTCAGCTTTACACCATGCCATCGCCGAGGGCCATGGCGAGGCTGCAATTGAGCTTCTCAAGGCCGGTGCCGACTCGGACAAGACGGACAGCAACGGCGCCTTGCCGATTTTTCTCGCACCCGATGCAAAGGTCAGGGATTACATCTTGCGTAAGGCTGAAGAAGACGGAATCACCTTGGCCACGGCATAGATCGCTCACCAGCAGAAGAGAGGACGGCGTGTTATGCGAATCAACTTCAGCGCCAAGCTAGGCAAGTGTGGTGTTCGCTCCTCACCGCGAGTGGTCATGTTTATATGAATCCAACTAGATCAGCGAGACTCTCAGAAAGGCCCTGAACTCCATACAGGATCGATGATGAATTCGAGTACCTACTATCCCTTGACGCAACCTTTACTCAATGATCGCCACAACTGGCACTGTCAAGGATCGATAGCACTTAGGTATTGCAAGGGTCGATCGCCTCTGGCGCTCAATTTCGAATGACTGAGYGACTGTGGCATTGCTTGTAAATAGTTGATGTACAGCTTCAACGGCCAGGCCGTGAAATATTCTGCTCTCATCATCACATCTATGGATGCCATCAGTGACAACGCGCGAGCGGGCGAGGGTCCGTGCAGTATCCACAAGTGGGGTAAAGTTGGATCTGATGCAGAACCCAAAGCCGAGATCCTGCATGTGCATGTGCAGGTGGATGGCCTTTGCATTGGACATCGTCAGGATTTTCCAGAAATTTTCATTCCCATGCTGCCCTGCTATAGTGGGTCTGGCCCGCTCACGAACCAGTGAGCAACACAATGGCATTTATTGCGGCAACCGTTTCCAGGTGCATTGGACTGGCGTATGGAAATATAAGGGTAGATAACGGCCCGTCTCGTCTCCTAAAGTTTCTAGCTCATGAATACCTACCTGCTTGACCACCCCTCGCACTTCCACTTCCCAGGACACCCTGACGCGTCCCACAAAGCTTCTTCCGACTGCGTGAGACCAGGGCCGCGCAAGAAATGAGCTGATCAGTGATACGCCTTTGGCTGCATATTCCTCAGCTCCCCTGGCCGCCGGCTCGCGTCATCAAGGTCGTGTATCACGCAGCAAAGTCATCATGACMTCCCGCTTCTTCAAACGCAGGAAGATGTCCTCGTCCAGCCAGGCAGCGGACGAAGAGTCAAACACGGACGGCGCGTCGAGCGGACACCCATCGTCCAGGAAGCGAGCCTTTTCTACAGCATCTGGAACGGCAGGAAGCCTTCCATCCAGATCTTACATGCACCATCCAAGCCATGCCAGTGCGGTCGATGTCCAATACAGCTCCTCTGGCGTCAGGCAGCAGACTGCTGAGATCTCCTCCTCTTTCCTCAGTGACTCTGAGATGCACGGCCAGTTTGGTCGAGATACTAATCATCTCGAGGTGGCTTCGGGATCTCAACGCAGCCACGACATAATCCCAGAACGTACTGAGCCAACGACGCCGGAGCCGGAAGCGTTTGCCTTTGAGCAACGTGGATCCTCTCTGTCCGCCGTATCTCACGCCAGTGATGTTTTACGAGCATACGCAGACGATAGTTCTCCCCGGAATTCTGGCACTGATGCCCCCAGCCGTGGGTTTCGTGCCGCGCAAGCTGCCCTCGACGAGGAAAACAACATGGGCGAGAGGACACCTCTACTGCCGCGGGAACGACTGCCCTCTCGTAGAAAGCAGCGTTACGATTCCGGGCCTTCATTCGAGGTTGATCCACCTCGCGGCATTTGGAACAGGCTTGGTCATCACTATCCTTCGATCCGTGCAGCTAAAGGCGCCGTTCGAACACTGGTAAACCCCAAGGCGTGGGACCTCAAGCAGGTGGCTTCGACCGTGATTGTCGCACCTGTGAAGACGCTCCCGGCCGTATTCTTAGGTTTACTCCTTAACCTGCTGGACGCACTTTCTTACGGAATCATTCTATTCCCGCTGGGAGAAGAGGTTTTCTCCGACATGGGAGCCGATGGTGTCTCCATGTTCTATGTCAGTTGCATTGTATCACAACTGGTGTATTCTTCCGGCAGTATATTCAAAGGCGGCGTGGGGTCTGAAATGATCGAGGTCGTTCCATTCTTTCACAAGATGACCTACATGATCATTGGTGTCATGGGAACCGAGAACCCCGATGCGCTTCGAGCGACGGTAATAACCTCCTACGCCATGAGCTCCATCATCACAGGTATCATCTTTTTCGGGCTTGGAGCTGCACGATTGGGGACGCTTGTCAACTTCTTCCCCCACTCAATCCTGGTTGGCTGCATTGGCGGTGTGGGCATATTCCTACTCTTGACTGGTCTCGAGGTCTCGGTTCGCTTGGACGGCAATCTCGAGCTCACAAAGGAAGTTCTCCTCAAGCTTGTCGCGCCCATGAGTCTTGCTCAGTGGGTTCCTCCACTAGCATTGGCGATCATACTCCTCGTGGTCAAACGCTACTACGACAGGCCTTTTTTGGTTCCGGCATACTACATCGGGATCACCGCCATCTTTTACATCGTCACCGCTGCAGTTCCCGCCTTGAATATGGAAAAGCTTCGGTCGTCTGGCTGGGTGTTTGAAGCACCTTCAGCGGACAAGTCTTTCTACAACTTTTACAGCTACTACAAATTCAGCATCGTGGATTGGGAGGCTGTTGCCATGACCATTCCATCTCAGCTGGCCTTGACATTCTTCGGCATCTTGCATGTTCCAATCAATATTCCCAATTTGGCCATGAAGATGCAGGAAGACAATGTCAGCATCAATCGCGAACTCATCATGCATGGTGTTTCGAACACGCTGTCAGGCTGTGTTGGCAGCATTCAAAACTACCTCGTCTACGTCAACAGCGTCTTGTTCATGGACACAGGCGGTGACAGCAGACTTGCCGGGTTCATGCTTGCGGCAGCAACAACGGCTCTCTGGGTGGTTGGTCCTGTTGTTATCGGGTACGTTCCAGTGATGGTTGTCGGAACTCTCATCTACTACCTTGGTATCGATCTCGCAAAGGAGGCCCTGGTGGATACATATGGCAGGCTACACCGCTTGGAGTACTTCACCATCGTGGTTATTGCCCTCGTCATGGGGATTTACGACTTTGTTGTCGGCGTCGGGGTAGGCATCGGACTCGCATGTTTGGTGTACGTCGTCCAGACTTCTCGCAAGACTGTCATTAGAGCACAATTCTCTGGTGCCATTGCCGAGTCCACCGTCAGACGACACCCCCGGCAGCGAACCTATCTCAACCGCGTGGGTCCACAGATTCGGGTCGTGAAGTTGGGTGGCTACCTTTTCTTCGGCAGTATCGTCAACGTTGAGAAGACTGTGCGAGCTCTCATCGATGCGGAGGCTTTCGCCGCAGCGCCAATACGCTATCTGATCCTCGACTTCTCGCATGTTACAGGAATCGACTTCTCCGCAGCTGAAGCCTTTGGAAGAATGAACCGAGTGCTGCGAAGGAGGGATGTAGAGATGGTACTAGCATCAGTCAACCTCGGCGATGACATTGGCAAAAGCTTGCAGATGGACGGCTTGTTCGCTGAAAGTGATGAGGAACCTCCGATGCCCGCGCCAAAGGTCTATGAGAGCTTGAATGGCGCCTTGGAGGCTTGCGAGAATGGTCTTCTCATTACCTTGACAGAGAAGCAGCAGAGTCGTGCACAAGATCAAGCAACTTCGCCAACCATGCCAATTCCCACCGAGCAGTCAAAGAACATCAACATATCACAACTGGATAACATGGTCGGATCTCCGCGTACAAACCTCCGTCACGAAGCTGCCAGCCAAACGATTACAGAGCAAGGGCACACAGACGGAGCAAAGTGGAAGAACCTCAAACAACCACTTCCCCTAATACTCCAGGCCTTCCAGGATATCACTGACAAGAACGTGGACTTCTGGTTCAAAGCAGTGCCCTTCTTCGTGAGGCGAGAGTTCAGCAAGGGACAGCTGATCTACGCTCGCCACGACAACCCGGACGGTTTCTATCTCCTCCAATCTGGCATACTCCGCGCCGAGTACGCCCTCGAGCAAGGCAACTACCATGAAAGCATCGTGGCTGGCACAACTTGCGGCGAGCTGCCGTTCTTCAGCGACACGGAGAGGACTTGCAGTGTTGTGGCCGAGACGGAATGTGTCGCGTGGTTGCTCACCACTGAAAAATGGGAGGCGCTGCAAGAGAAGGATGTTCAGGTCGCGCAGGAGTTGTTGAAGGTTGCGATGAAGCTGAGTGCTGAGCGTATGAGCGCCATCACCAGCTATGTGCTGATCACGGCCAGCTGAGATGGCGGTCGTCTATTAAGATGAGTGCTGAGCGAGGCGTTGTAGGGTTTCTGATCTCGGATATGTTGGTGGACGCAGATGGACAGATTGCGCCAGTTGTACATTTAGACTAATGCTTGAGTTGTAGTCGTATAACTGCTTCGATCCATTAGATACCGGGCACTTGCAACCTTACGATCATACAGCATCCGGCCAATGGCTCTCGTGTGGGCGAACAGTATCTCAGCCCTCGCCCTTTGGCCTTTTCACTCGAGGGCAAATTGCGAAAGCAGCTCTGCTCGTAATCCCCGAAGCCGGACTTCATTCACTTCGATCGCATCCGACGCTAACAGGGGTTACCTCGCCCATTACCCGGAACTTCACCCGCTGTGACATTTCATTCACTGCGACTACTGACAATATGACTCGACGTTTTCGCTTCTTATCCTCACTTTCATCAACCAGCTTCATTCGCAACAATGGCGCCGACAAAACTACAACGGCTAACAGCTGAACTAGAACACTCTCAAGCAGCACTGGTGAATCTTCGTCGGAACTACACATCGCAGACCACTTGTCGCGGTGCCTTGTCGAATGCGACAGAGTAAGTGCGCCCGCCAGATCACAGATCAATACAACCTTTCTGACATCCTTCAAGCCTAGGATCGCACATCCTACTCCTCTTCGTCGGCCCCCAGCAGGAGCTAATCACCCTCCACTCCGACATGTTACCAGACAAGACCAAAGCATATCTCACAGCTCGCGCAGCCGCTGAACCATTCCGCCAGCTTCCCAATGAACTTCCAGAGATCGTCAACCTCTACCGACTATTTCTCTACACGGGCACCGTCTTCTCAATTGCCAATAGCGACAAGGACGAGATGGATGCCGCGGAATTCAACCACGGCGCTTCCATGGATGCGGAGAAGGTGACGCTCATGGAGTGCTACATCCTGGGCACACACCTCCACGACGAGCGCTTTCGCAACGCGGCGATCAACGCGCTCGTCCAGAAAGTCGAAGAGGAGGAGGAATATCCTACGGGACTGGCCGCTGATGTCTACCGCCATACCAGTCCTGGTGATAAATTGCGAAGGCTCATTGTTGATTTCCATGTCTGGAAGGGACAAGGTTGGTGATTCCAGGGCACGGAATTGAGACCCCAAACTAAAGCTGTGTCTAGGTGAATGGTTGTGCTTCCCGCACGAAGATGCTCATGGACCGGAAGAGTTCCTCGCTGATGTGGCTGCGGCCACGAAGAGAGCTGGCGCGATGGTGTACTGGGACCACATGAAGAGTCCATGGGAGACGTTTCTTTGCACGCGATACCACCAGCATGCTCATACGCAGGGATGTGTTAAGGTGATTGATCTTTCTGGCGAGGACTAAACGGGGAGCACACTGGTGTTTCAATTGCTCGGAAGAGACGGTGCATGGACCTGAGGATGTTGGAGCATGTGACCAGGCACAGGAAGCGTAATTAGGTGGTCGGCGGCATCCTGTTCTGGCATTGAGAGTTATAAATGAAGCTGAAGTCTTCCGGCGGTGTATACTCGCTCGCAATCAATCCTTCTGATGGCGAACAATGGGCCTTATGCTCTCCTCCTCCCCCTTCATCTCCCTCTCCCTCGCCTCCTTCTCCGCCATGGCCGTCTCCCGATCCACCACACCCTGCATCTTCTCAGCCATGATACGATTCAACTCTTTCTCCCCATCCAACGCAGCCCTCACCACGTCCAACGCCGTCACAATTGGATCTCTCCACAAGCTCTCCCTCACAGGAGTGATTGTCACATCTCTAGACTTCCTCGCGTCAATCCCAGCAAACTGCCGCACAATGCTATCCCATTTATCCTCCTCTCCCGCAAGAACCAAAGCCTCCTCCAACATCTGCCTCCGATCATGCCGTTTCTGGCGCTGAACAATGCGATTGGTTATGTACCCCGACAAACTCGACGGCTGCGGTTTCGTAAATCGCAAAATGGGAATGTGATTCGCAGTGAAGAGAACCGGCACCTTGCGCTCTCCAGAAAGTTGCTCCAGCGGCAGCGGGCGATCAAACATATTGATCCTAGGCGGTCTCTCCGCCAATTCTCGCCGCCGTAGCAGTTTCTTATCAATCGCTTTATGTCTTCGAGGTGGTTGTTTGACACTCTTCGGCGCTTTTGCCAGCAAATCCGCTACGATTTGTTGAGCGTGAGTACTGCCTGCCACGGCAGCATCCAAGTGATCGACAGCCTCATAACCGGCTTCGAATGTGGCTTTTAGCTGACGGTAGCTGGTGACATGACGCGCCTGTTTGAAGCGGTTGCGAACGACATTTTGTAGCTCCGCATTGGCCGTCGGGGATTCCGGCAATGGCACACGCCGCGACTGGATGAGCAGGGCGCGAAAGAGGGCGATGGCGGCAATGCGGTGCGCTCCGGACTTGTGCGGCACCAGAAACTTGGGCATCAAGGAGCCATGGGGGTTGGGTTTGGACGGAGAGGTCAAGCTGAATGTAGTTGAAGCTTCGCAGTCTTGGCAATATGAGTGGAGTACTACGATGTTGTACGATGCGGTTCTGTCGAGGAAGTGAATTCGCTCGCACAATCCAGCTTGCGAATAATGCCGCTTGATACGCTGAATCGGAAAAGAAGTTCATCTATCGTAAATCAAAAAATGCTCGCTGATGCGCTGTACACGTTTACATGAAGAAGAGACTGGCTGTGCTGTAGCGACCATGGGGTATCGAACTCCGTTACTCCGACGAACTGCCTTCCCACTCTCCATGAAGCACGCTTCCTCAATCCGCTTTTGATGGCTCCCCCTGGAGATGCATGAAAGCATTCAGGACCGTGCCAGGCTGCCATCCTTGTGCCTCGAGAGTCTGTTTCTCGTCAATGGTCTTGCCCAGATGTAGCAGCCTGACGCTCTGCCCGTGCTGCTCAAGAACCTTCTTGACGATCACACCAGCCTTCTGCTTTGCGCCAAAGGTGATCTCTTGGTCTCCAGTACCGTCGCTCAGCCGCACTTTGACCTTCATCTCCTCGCCCAAATCGATAACTCGGCCCTTTCCTTTCTCCTCTCTTTTGCGTGCGGCATCCTCGTCCTCATTCAATGCGTCGTCAGAGTCATCGGCAATACCGATCTTATCCTCCGCATCCTCGACAATGTCAAGTGGGTCCGAAACGACCCAATTGGGTATATCGTACAGCGCCCCTCTTTCGTCAAATACCCCTCCATTGTTACGATCTCGTCCCCTTCCTCTGGCAAACTTGCCACTGGGGCAGTTCATGTTAAGTGCGTCCAAGATGGCTTGAGCACCTGCCAGATCTCCTTGGCACAGCAGTTCGGAAGCCTGTCGCATTCCACCCCATATCTCCACGCTTCCATTGACACGTGTGTCGAAGAAGTCTCGCCGCTGTTTTTCGAGATTGCTGCGGGTCCAGGGCGGCGGCATGGTACTGACATTCTTTGGGCTTCGTGCCACCGGGGAAGGATTTCGTATGCGTTGATTGGGGAGGTTTGCGCCGCGTCCATTCCGAGGTCGGGCATTTGAGGGAGCGGCAGCTTGTGCTGCGATGTTATTGCCCTGCGGTGCGATGCCATGTGCTGGTTGGGCGTTGGGATCTTCATCGCGCAGAGCGTTGGATTGGCAGCAACCCATGGTGGCCGTGGTTCATCTTATGGGCCCCTAGCCAGTCTCGTGTCTATGCGAATACTGTAGCCGTTGACATGTGCGATGGCCGCTCGAATGTTCCAGCTGAATTCACGGGGAAGCCCAGCTCTGGTGGTAGCGGGCGAGTGTGGAAAACGATCGGGTAGCGTGGCGCTGTTGCGGTACAGGGATTGATGGTGATGACAGTAAAGCTCCGTTCAGAATGGTGTAATGAATGCCGATTACTATTTATTCAGTGCGAATGTCGAYGTTCATGCATGTGAGGTGTAGATGGGACGGCAGCGAGTAACTTTCCGTCACAATTGAACGCCGGCAGGCCCAAAGGTTGACCTTCACTTTGGCTCCATCCCGCGGCCCAGATTCTGCCAATCTCCGTCAACTACGTCAATGACCGACCCACCCTCCGACCCTTGTAGGCAAGCTTGATCTCGGGGTGTGTTTTACTTTTCTCACATTACAAAGGCACACTTCATCAAAGAAAATTGTCATGAACACCGCAAAATAAATCGCAACAAAAATCAATTTTATTAACCGCTATGCCTTTCTATCTACCAACCAATTCAGGGTATCTTCGAGAATGATTTGTGGGTATTCGCGAGGGCCATCAACCGCCGCCGACCGCCAGGAATGCCGGCGGAAACCAATGGCCAGTAAACAATCATCAAGTGCAAAGCAAGGCTAAACAATGCAACAACAGTGGTATCAAAAGCATTTTAGTCAAAACGCGTGAAAGCAGATCCGGGCCCAATGCAGCAGAGTAGCAAAAGAAGCCATGGCTGGCGCAGACGCTCGAGGGAGTGGYACACAGTTGGATATTAGGCAGGCGCAGCTTTTGGGAGGTGAGTCGTGGGGTGTTTGTTCGTCGTTTCGTGGTGGCCATGCTTGTTCAGTCAAGAGTTTCCGCACCGCAGAGCAGCGTCCTGTCATCGGATTCATTCTTCATTCATCTTCCAACTGGRGAGTCGGTCGATGTGACTGATAACCACCAAGCTTCTTATGCGCTCGCAGAGACAGCTGGGGTGTTGTGCTGGGGCTGGCCAGTCGAGACCGCCTCGGGGACGACGTCGCCAATCGTGGGCTGAGCCTCGGTCGGCTTGCTCTCACCAGTCACAGCAGCGGTCTCCTCGACTGGCTTGGTCTCAACGGCCTGCTCAGTGGTGGCCTCGGTGGTGGTGGTGGCAGCAGTTGGTGTCTCCTTCTTGGGCGTCTGCATGCGGTTGAGGGCCTTGCTTGCACGGCGGCCAAGGCTGCCAAGCATCGACTGGCGCTTGTTCGCGCTAGTCTCGGTCTTGGGCTCCTCAACCTTCTCGTTGGGCTCATTGGTGTCGGCAACAGCGACGGGCTCGGCAACGGGCGTTGGCTCCTCGGTCTTGACAACTGGTTCGGTAGGCTCAGCAGCGGGAACGGCTGGCACGGCGGGAACCTCCTCCTTGGTAGTCGTCTTCTTGCTGGTCGAAGGGCTAACGCTGCGGCCACGCTTGATCAAACTTGCGAGGAAGTTGTTCTTCTCCTTGCTGGGGGTTTCCGCGGATGTCTCTGCGGGCGCGGGCGTCTCGTTCTTGGCCTCAACAGTTGGCTCTGCAACCACCGGCACAACGGGCTCAGTGCTGCCAGTCTCTGGAAGAACGGGTGGGTTCTCGGAGACAGCGCCAGCCTCAGTGGCCTGAGTCTCTGGCTTGAGCTCAACTTCCTTGAGGTCCTTCTCCTTGGCGGGGCTCTTCATGCTGCCCCATGTAGATGACACGCGGCCGAAGATGCTGTTGCGCTTGTTCGGCTTCGTCTCTGCGACGGCAGGTGTCTCGGTGGTGTCGCGAGATTCAGCTATGTATTTGTTAGTAGACTCTTTTTGAGCAAATTTGAYGTCACACGTACCGACGACTGGAACCTCTGCCGCGGCGCCAGCAGCAAGAACTGGAGCAGCCTCTGTGGAAGCCAGGACCGGCTCGGTGGACTCGACCTCGGGCTTCGATGTCTCCTCGACAGCCTTCTCTTTCTCCTCCTCATCCTTCTTCTCGGCGTGCTCCTCCTTCTTACCCTGCAGGCGGCTGAGAATTCCGCGCGAAGTGGATCGGGTCTTCTGCTTCTTGTCGGTCTCGCCCTCGGATGAGCCGGTGCGCTCAACTGCAGCCTCGCCGTCGGTGCTCTTCTTTGGCTGCGACTGGCTGCGCTTGGAAAGGGCAGCAACAATGGGGACGGAGGGCTTGTCTGCGAGCATGTTAGATGCGGATCTGTCCGGTATTCCCGATCAAACATACTCAGCTTCTCAAGCTCGGCGGTGTAGCCTTCCTGGGCGACAATCTCCTCCTTGGAAGCCTTGCCGAGCTCAATGGACTTCTCAATGGACATGTACCATCCATCGCGCTCAGCATCACTGGTAGCCTTGAAGGTGTGCGAGTGGCTGCCAACCTTGAAAGAGAAAGAGTGTGGAGACTCCTTCTTGAGGTCAGTGGCCTCGTAGAGAGCGAGGATGTCGTGGGGGTGTGTGCGGTCAGTGTCATTCTTCTTGTTGAAGAAAAGCAGGCCCTTGCCGGTCTGGCTGGCCCATGCAACGATGGGGTGTGCGATCTCGGGCTTCTCGCCGCGGAGGTACAGGTCGAGGTTCTGTGGTGTGACCGCAGCGTCGTCTAGCCAAAATTCCTTCTTGGATGCGATGAGCGACCTGTGATTGGGTCAGTCGCGATGGAATGCACAGTCGAGGCTTTGGTGTACTCACGAAACGAGACCAGGTCCCTTGTATGCCAACTGGCCCTCGGTGATGGGCTCGACAGCCTTCTCGGCGACGGCAGGCTCATCAGCAGCAACGGCGGCGGCTGGCGCGGTGGTGGTGCCATCCGCTGCCGCAGTCTCGGCATCGACCTTGGGTGCCTCGGCGTCGACAACGGGCTCGTTCACCACACGTTCGGCAACGGCAGGCGCGTCAATTGGTGCAACGGTCTCGACAGGCGCTGCGGCCGCTGGGGTGTTCTGCACTTCCGACATGTTTCCGGCAATTCTGTGATCCTTGAGCGCGTAGGTGAAGTGCTGCGTGCTGCGATTGCTTGCAAGGGACTAAAGAGGGTGAAGGAAGCAGCTGCGGAGGGTTAAAGAGTCGGGCATGGAAAACGATGTTGAAAAGGGAGATTGTGCAGTTTGTCCGTGCTTCAGCACAGACTTGCGCTAGTTTAATAATGTACATATCCCAATACATCTCTGTTGGACCCAATGAGAAAACTCGAACTCGACTGTGACACCCACGGCGCCGGTTCACTGCTCTCACAGCGACGCGCAATGCGGGGCGGTCATGCGATCTTGAAGTTACGCGTATCTTTGGCTCGCGATGTACCATCCATGTTAGCTTCGACGAGCTCTCCCTGGCTCGATACGCAGCCAAACGCGCATGCCGAAGGGCTACAGTGTGTGTGAAATTTGGTCTACGATGTATGTTCGATTTGCGGCAGTAGCTTCCCGCTCCGCGTCTGCAACTAGAAACGTTCGACCGGCCGAGTCACTACCGTAGGAGTATTTAATTAATCAGACCCTTGCACGCCGCCGAGGCGCTAAATCTACCTTGAGCTCTCCACTTTTTCCTGTCTCACTCTTTTTTGGGGGGTTGTCAGGCGACCTGATGGTGATGGATCATGGCACACGCGCGTCTCGCGATTGCAACCATCTTGTAACCAGTTCACCTTGTGACTGTTTTAGCAGCGAGTGAATGGAGTATACAATAAAATCGCCTGACTACGGACCAAAGCCGTTGTTGGCGCTCTTTCGCTTTTTCACCCAAGCGTATCGATATCGATAAGAGGGAGCACGACCCATTTCGGCGATAGGGCACTTTCCACAATAAAGTGTAGACCCACCATGTGTTTCTAACCCACCTATTGGGCGACATCCACTCGATACATGCATCTCATTCAGCCATCAATACCACACCGGGAAATGCGCCGTCCTCTGCCTTGGGCCTGCGATGTACTGTATCGGGCATCGGGCTTGTCTGCTTGATCTTTTTCACATTCTACGGTTGAACGTCGGCCCCTCGACCGCCGCTACTCCTGTAGCGGCGCAGATCGATATAGGAGGTGATCGACATATCTCTTCACGTGCACAGTGCAGGCGCCACCATTCACAGGAGTAACAATCAGGACGAAAAGGAAATTTGATATGCTCCAGGTGACACAGCGTCCCAGCCTACGCACTGTACGCCGAAAGCGTGTGTGCTTGGTCTTCGTGAAGCAAGTGGTGTGTTTGAAGACATGGATGGACCGTGGGGATCCCTGTCTTCGCGTTTCGAAAAGGGGGCACAAGCGGGCACAATGAGGGCGGATGAGTAGCCTCAGCGTTTGAGAGTCAACCAAGTTGTGATGTCGTCAAGCACCAAGATCGAGCGCCGTGACAGCGAGCGATACACGTATGTTCGTGAGGATGTCGAGGTGAGGATGATCTGATCGTGGGTCTTGCCCCAGGCGGTGGGGTAGATTGAGTTGACAGGTAGGAAAGCTTCGAGGGCCGAGTTTCGACCTCACCTCYCGTATTGCTCTTGCTATATCGCCCTCTACACCATTGTCTCTCCACATTTTCAATGCCGTTTGATCTTCAATGCTTCAGTTTTCGACAGAGGCCGATGAGTCCGTCTCATCAGAAGCTGCGGCGGTAGACCACGGAGAAACAAGACCTGCCAATACACCGGGATTGAGAGGGCCTATGGATTATCATGATCTCGAGAAAAGCTTTACCAGCCACAGCTGAGGAGGCCCGAGGGCTCAGGCAACAGCGACTCTCCATCCGAGTAAGTGTGTAGATCATGCGAATCCTGTCAAAACCCGGCCGAATATGGTGTCGCAGCGCGAGCTGGCTCGCATAGCTCTTACGTTTGAGACTGCTCCATACCCACGCCGCCGTCCGTGGACAGCGACGCTGGTCCAGTGATGTCCTCTGAGTCCTCGTCGCTCTGTCAAAATGCCTTTTCCAGATGCTATGTCCGCTGGACGACAAACCGGCGTTGAGCGCTGGTCGAGGATATCTATCAAGACATTGACATTGCTTGGGATTTCGACATTCGTCGTCACAGCTAGACGAAGCTTCAAGACTGCGAGACTTTGGTATGTGAATGGAGACATGTATCCCGAGCGGTGCGTCATTACAAATTTGCTTTCAATTGTCGCGCTTTCAAGCTCGACCCCGTTCAACTTGCCGAACTTCTGCATGGAAGTCTGCGCTGTACTCGAGCACCGAACAACGACATCGAGTACAATCTTCATCCGCACCAGCCATCATGGCAGATATGAGGGGGAACCCCGAGGAAGGAATACTTGAAGGGGTCTCGCGCATATATGCCCGGAAGCATCAAGACAGATTTGCGCATCTTCTCTCGTCTTCCGCTTTGGAGTTCAAAACTGCTGCTGAGGGTACCAAGGTCGGTGAAGCCACAGTCTCGGCGGGCTTCGCGTGCCGCGATTATTCCCGAGCATCGATTGCACCTCTACCTTCTTGTGCCAATACATGGTGAGTAAACTATGAGCAGAAGCACTAGTTGTACTGACCATCTCGCTAGTCCGTTCTGTGTGAAGCAGTTCCGACCTCTTTCCTGGCAAGAGACAATTCCCGCGCTCAAATACACACTCCATCACAGTGATGACGAGGCCGCCAGCATCATCGGCAAGTTGGTTCAAGAGACGACAGAAAATCTAGCGCGCATACGACAGGCTATTCTGAAATCCGGGGATGCGATAGCAAAGAGGTAAGTCCCAACAAATGGAGGGCTTCCGCGGGAGACAATACACAGATCATGAGGCAGTCTGCTMGATACCGCCAATGGCTAATTCTCATCCTCCCCCTAGGTGGCAGAGGCGCAGTGCCGCCAAGCGGGCCGCCCTTCTTCTGGCTGCCATGCCAAATATGAGGCGCCGCGTGGGCATGCTCGTGTTTTCGGATCTCCAGGGCGTCAAGCTGTCAACGCTAAAGGCTCAACTTTCTCTGCCGTACCTCACCATAGAAGCATTGAGCGAGGATCCTTTGAGTCTACTCGCTTTGCTACACCACCGCTCAACACACAGGATTGCAGACTTTGTCCTGTTTGACGCCTTACAACTTCAGTCAAGCTTTAGCCAAGGCGCATTGGAAGCCTCTTACAATCCTCATTGTATCTCAATGTATGTGCGTCCTGAGGTTGAATATTAACATTATGCACATGGACGCTGCTGACCATAACAGGTGTGGAGAAGACGTTGACATTGGCAATCTGGTCTTCTGGAACAAGCAAGAAGCCCATCGCTCTCAGATCATTGGGTATCCGCTTGCAAAGATGATCCTCGAGGCTCAAAACATCATGTCTACCTTCCTGGTCGATATGTTGGACACGATACTWCAAAGCCCCGTCGAACCCGCTTCACAAGGTCATGGTCTCTGGGACTCACTGTGTGCGGAAGACTTCGTCAAGAACAGCCCAGACCACACTGCTCCAGTACCCCGGCGAGCTGGCTATCGTGCAGCTCCAGCTGGTTGTCTCTCGATGCTAAGAACCACGCTCAGTAGTATCAAGGCCCGACACTCTGCGAATCAGAGCGACACGTGGCTGCTGCAGACTGATCCTGCATGCACTCGTCAGACTCTGGCTAGCTTAGAGCGGTCTGGTTTTCGCTACAGTGACGACAAGAAAAGAGACACGATGACGCCGCTATTATTGAGTAGCATTTCAAGGCAGGTCGGATGGTACGTTTTGGAGGAAATTGCCAAGGCGGTCTTGCAAGACTTCGAACTGGACGACATCTCAACGACGTCCAACCCAGAATTGAAATTGAGATGCGCGACAGGTCTGCAAACTCTCGAGCAAACTTTGAAGTTGGAATTCAGGTCTTCTCTGGTCAGAACGAGGGTTCGGTCGGCGCAAACGGGGTTTTCTGGGCATCCTTTCAGACCACAGGCTAAGCTGGTCAAGAGCCCAAAGGTTGGAAACAACATGTCATGTTGGGCATTGGAGCGCATGAGCGCACATGACGTACCGGACTTGCCAATCCCTGAACAATACCTCGCTCTTCTCGAGTACGACATTGCAAGTCAGAAGAAACACGAGCGCTTCAATGAGACTTTGTACGATTATGTCTCCGATCTTTCTACTCTCGATGAAGCCATCATGGCCATCAAGTATGTGCGTCCGACCTACGATTGGGCGGAGAAAGCGGATATGGAAGCGTACTTCGAACAAATGCCGTTCTTAAAGGACATCACGTATTCGGACTACGTCGACGACAACTACTCCAGCCATCGCGATGTCCTCTGGCCGCCCCTCAAGGCATTCTTGTCCACGCCAGTACCCACTGGAAGGGCCGCCTGGGCCTCTCTTGCCGCATTTGATGCCAGTCATGCCGCGCTCGCTGCTTTTTGGGATGTAGCAAGGGCAGTTCGAAGGGAGCTGCTTGTTCAATCTGGATGTCCTCCTGAGAGGGTTGAAGTCCTCGCTGAGTCGATCAGTGCAGGTCTGTCCGAGGATTATGCAGCACAATACCAGAACGAACGCAACATGCTGTTGAACGAGATTTGCAGACGCGGTAGGTACTCAGTCTGCGTTGAACGAGTATCAGCTAACGTAGATTTAATAGAAGCTGCAGGCAAGAAGGCACTGCGACCGAGCCCATCTATTTCTTCCGTATTGCACTCTTCCGATTCTGTTGCTGACCAGAAGACTCGGAACACCACACCGCCACGTTMACGTGTGCAATCATTATCCTCTCCAAGACCTCCACCACTATCTCACGGCAAGTTGAAGATCAAGACTCGGCCTGAGATTCCTGTTCAGGAGCTATCAGACCGGGCTGACAGTGCCATCGCAACGCCAATTGATGACGGAAAAGCTGCCACAGATCTTCGCATCTCGGTCTGTCCTACCAGCATGGACATTTTCAGGCGCATGTTCGTCACCTACGGCAAAAGAACCAACTCGAATTTGAGATGGTCGGAGTTCGTAAAGGCGATGAATGACGCTGGCTTCGCAGCCACATGGAGCACAGGTGGTAGCGCTGTCGTCTTTGATGACATTCGGGGCAGTGGAGCGATACGCCTCCATCAACCTCATCCTGATCCCAGTATTAATCCGATCTTACTTCGAGCCTATGGGAAACGAATGTCCCGGCAATTTGGTTGGAGCTTTGACACTTTTGTCGAAAGTGTTTGATAGGCACCACCAGTCAGACTATGCTTGGTGGGCGTGGATCGGTCGAGGGATGGATGGGGGGAGCAGGAGAGGAGGAATCCTGAAGAATGAAGGATGTCCAGCGGCCTCAAGCGGCAAAACGCTGTTGTCGTCTGGGCATGAGAAGTTTGTTTGTTATTTGTGGTTTTAAAAGTCCTTTTAGCATCTGAATTTGAATTGAGTCTCGATCGATTGAACAAGAGCTCTCGTCCATGCGCATTGCTCCGTCACTCAAACAACTGATTGGCTGTTGTATTTATAGCGGTCAGATTTTGCTCGCGGCTTTGARAGTGGTCTGGCTCTTAAGCTTCACTTCTAGGGTTAGGGTTGGGGTAGTGCACGCAGGCCGATAACGATACAGTACAGCGTATCTAGGTACCTACAGGACTGTACAGTCCTCTGAATGTTGGTATTCGTGTCGTTGAAGACCAGGAAGAATCTCGCTTTAGCCTAGCAGACAGTCACAATTTTCATGGACTAATCAAGCGTGTGGAAATCTTGACCATGGGATATCACTATAATTGGCATTGATGTGCCTTCACGAATTGTACATGCAATACAGCGTCTGTCTAGAGTAACGAGCGCGAGGGAACTTGGAGGAGCTCAGTCCACCCTATGTGCTCCATTCTTCTCAAGCATCGGTGGGAGAATCGTCATCTCCCTCATCCACCGTCCGCCTTCTCTCCCTCAGCTTAGTCGATGTCTGGTCAAAAGGAGAAGTATTGATAACCAGCGAATGAACGGGCGGCGGCTTCGAAGAGTAATCAAATAACACCGCAGCTCCATTAAGACTGCGTCTCTTCATTCTCTCATGCGCCTGCTCTAGCGCCACCTCTACGCAACAACGGACCTTCAAACAGCATAAAGCGGGCCACACAGACCTTTCCCCACGAGTGATCCAGAATTTGATTTCCTTTTCTGTAGGGTTCTTGAGTAGCCATCCCAAGTCCCGCACGCTGATGTTGGGGACCAGTGTGAGGGAGTCGGCCTCAAATGTCTGATCGCTGCGAATTCTGCGAACAAAGGCTGGCAGCATGCCGAAGATGCCTAGACACGCTGCAATCCATCGAGCAGCCCAAGGAATGAAGAGTAGTGGGAGGCGAAGAAATCTCCAGAAGCCCAGATCCCGACCCCGGACGTATGGCAGAGAGGGTGTTATAAAAGGAGCAACATATGGTCGAGCCTGTGAGACGATGAAATGGTCGATGTTGAACTGTTGCCGCATTCTTGACAGCGGTGTCTTGTCTTCGCCGGTCGAGTGAGGAAGGCCAGCATTCTTGCCGGTCAAACCACACGGTCGAATCGGCACCGCAATAATCTCTCCACGAGCTGTTTTCTTGAGGAGCTTGATCTCATCATGGCGAGACAAAGTCGTTAGATGGGACGCCATGGCTGCCGAGCGAATGAGCCAATTGGAAGCTGTCAGGTGGTTGAGGAGGTTGGGTACATCATCGTTTGGCGATGCGACAATGATGTTCAGCACGCGCCCGGTCCGGTCGTATGCTTCCTGAAACGTCATATCACCAACATTCGCTTCGACACACTCAGCCAGGACCCCTGGATCAAGTACGAATCCCTGAGTTGACAACCTCCCAGCTCGTCGACTCAGCGTCGTCAACCAGCTCCAAAGCACGCTCTGCTGAGCTGCAAGTCTCTTCTCCCTTGCTCGACTTCGAGAAGCCGCGAAAGCGCTCAAGTCAATACCGTCTCCGCCCAGGAACCTGGGGAGCTCATCCTTGGTGTGTATGCCAACCAAAGCTGCCATAAGAGCGCCAGTAGCAGTCCCCACGATGACTCGTGGTAGGATGTCATGCTCAAAGAGCGCTTTGACCACGCCAATGTGACAGAATCCAAACACTGAGCCCCCCTCCATAACCAATGCCGTGCTTCCATACATACACTGGCCATTCTCAAACAGCTCCAACTTCTCCTGTGCTGTCATCCTACCAGCTCTGGACGTCATCGCTGGCGAAGCATCAGCCACAAACTTGATGGCAGCAATCATCTCTTCCACATAGGCTCGGATGCTTTCCTTGGTTGTGATGTATGTCTTATTATACAGGCTGACCTTGGTGATACCGAACAAGTTTCGGAGGAAACCAGTACGAAGGAGCGCCGCAGTCGCAACAATATCATCATTCATGCGTAAGCGGTAGAGCTTTTGACGACGTTCTTCGAGACGCAAGTGGTCATATGATGAATCAACCGGATTGGCTCGCCAGTTGTAGACGTCTCGCTGGCTGTCGAGCGCGAAAGCGGCACTGCGCCATTGGGCGAAGTTACTCGCAGATTTGAGATCATTCCGAAGGCGTGTCTCTTTACGGGGCGTCGTAAACAATTTGTGCAGAGTCTTGGATGGTCAGTGAGAGTTTCACTGCTGTGGATTGTAGTGCGCACCGTGAACCAGGCGTGAACAATGTCATAAACAATGATCACAACAGCCACTGGTAGTGTCACACCCTCTGGCCGCTTCGGCATTTTTAATTCAGCGCTGTATCACATACGGGCATGTGTGCTGAACGGGAAGCAAAAGTATGGATGTTGTAGTTGTGTGCCGTCTCAAGTCAGTGGAGAAGCGAGGGTGAAAGAAGAGGCGGTAGAGATGACCACAGCGTGCCTCCCCGTGGGTTCAATGGTAGTCGCGATGGGCTGTGATGACGGAGGTTGTTCGCTTTGACATGTGAAAGCAGGGGTCGGCCGGATGAAACCGAGGCCGTCGATCCCGATCCTTGGAGTAATCCAATCCCTGACTTCTCCAAAGCGCGGACGAGCGACGAGCAGCATCGGGCAACACGAGGGAAGGAAGGAGTGTCACGAAGTTCCAAAGCAACATTGTGGGCGAAAATTCAAGCGCCGTGCAATACGATGCTGCTACGTCCTGCTCTGATCGAGTCGCCGACCCCATCTCGCTCTCTGTGCCAAATACAACGTCACCTCACCCTTCTAAAATGAGATCTGTTGTGGCACATCCCCATTCTCCAATCCTGGTATTCCCCTCACGGGAGCCGTCGCTTCCCACATTCCCAAATCCTTGCCCTCGCGATCCCTCTTAGGCTTCCATTCCCTCCCGGCATCTTTGAGGACCAGCATAGCCTTACTTGTCATCGCAAAAGAAGTGACCAATTCCCGCATGCGTTTCGCTTTAACAAATATCTCGGCAAGACCATTTCCCTCCTTCGCAACCTTGACGGACAAATCCATGCTGTCAATCAGATTGGAACGACTGATGAGAGATCCGGCTGTGTGCAACACAGTGTTGTATGCGATGACCACTTCGGGGATGTAGTCTAGGCGGATCTTTTCGAGATCTGCGATTTCTTCTGCGTCGGCTTCGGCAGGCGAGGTGAGGATGCCGTCGAGTACCACCTCCATGTATTCGTCGACGAAGGACTTGGCCTCCCTCAGGTCGATGGGGGCGCGGGACTGGCTGAGTTGTTTTTGATGGTTGCGAGTGTATTCGTGTTCCGCTGCCCGCCACTGTGCAAGCGCAGCAATTGCTTTTACCAGAGACTCAAGCTCTTGATAGGTTTTTGATTGACCGAGAAGCTCTCTCCATAGCTCGGGATCAACAGTTGATGGCGCGCTGTCGTATTCGGTCATGTTGACCGTGGTACCAAACACGCTGTACGACTTTTGCATGCTAACTTGCTCGAATGGGAATTCATCGATGATGGCGATAGCGCAAGCGAGGCGACCAGCAACTACAAGTGGTCAGCATAAATTTGGTCAAATCGCAGGCTATTACACGTACCTAGACATTTCCGAAGCGCTAGCGATAGAGCGAAGAATGTTTCCGCCCAATGGCTCTCGATGATTGTGAACCAGCGTAAGCTCCTGATAACCGCATCGTCTTGTTCCGTCGGTTCCACGTCGTAGAATCCGTTGATAATGCACTGCCCAGGGTACATGATAGGAGTGGTGTTGTATTCCAACATCCTCAACGGAGTCTCAATGCCCTCGCCGACGTTTTGCTCGAGTACGAACCGGAGCTGCTCATTGATGATCTGGACGCTGTGAAGTCGGTATTGTACAAGCAGTTTCAGCAATTCCTCCTGCTCATTGTAGTCGGTGACATCCTGTAGCACTTGGCTCATAGTGAGGGTGGCCCTTGCTGAAGTGAGTCTTGATGCGTACAGAGGAACAAGGTCGCGTTTCCTGGCCACACGAAGTGTCTGGATGTACGCAACAATGACATTCTCCTCCGAATCTCTAGCATTGTCGTCAAGCTGCTCTTCGCTGAGTACACGGAGCAAGATGGCCATGTGATTTGCAACTCGAAGGGCCTGGGGATCCAAGGCAACCTCTGCTTCTGCCATGTTGCGATTTCCCTCCCAGAACTGGTCGAGAGGCACAATCATCTTCGTAGGTGTATCATTCTGACTGTCCAGGTAGGCTATGGCATAACCAAGGGTATGTATGAAGCTCCCAATATCGTTAGCGAGMAGAAAACTCTGAATTWTTTTCATGGGCTGGATGGATTCCGTGCTCGTCGTTGGATTCCGCCTCAGCTCACCTATCAGTGAGACGATTGCTTCCTCGGGATGTTTGAGGGCGTCCTCATTCACCCGCCGCAATAGAGGGGCTCGATCTGGAAAGCTTGTTGCAAGATACTGGTCGAATTGTCGGAGGAGACTAGCGTTGTAGTACGCGTAGAGTTTGTCGTCCACTGTTCGGCAGATCTTATCGACAGCTTTCACGCTACCGCCGAGAAGCCCATACACAGCGGCCTCGTATTCATTGGAGCAGCCAGACTGGGAAGCCAGGAAACACATTTTCCGCCAGGCGGCGTTGGACACGTTCTGACTGGTATCAGAACCTTTGCCGATGGAGAGTGCACGCCAGCCTTCCTTGTGAGTCTCGCACCACTCGCTGACATATGACCACGACTTGCCACGCCGTAGCATCTCCCAGCAGGCGATCCACATGGCGCGTTCAAAGTACACGTCCTCCTCTTCCAGAGCGCGGCCTTGTCGTGACCTCGCATCCGGATCGAGGGTAGTGACCAGCAGCTCAGTGTTGTCCCGATTCCGAATTTGTGGTAGTGGTGCGCCAGGAGACGTYGGCCATGATCTCAACCTCTTCTCGCCCTTGATCTTCTCTCGGGTGTTCATCCAGCCACTCGACCACAGGCCCTTGCGTTGTGATGTTCTCGCCTCCAACTCCTCCAATATCCCCGGTAGATCGCTTTCTTGATGCTCCACAGTCTCTTCCAGCCACCGTTTGATCAGAAATCGTTCGCGGGCAAGATCATCGTTGAGAATAAAGTGCTCCCAGATTTCACTCTCGCTGGTGTAGCGGTGCGGACGACCCAGTCTCGCCAGCTCCTCTTCCTTGTCCTGCTGCACTGCATTCTTGTCCGGATTGTGATGCAGCTTAAGCACAATGTCGAACAGCTCCCAAAGGTCTGCCTCCTGCTTGCATTGCCTCCACTCCGTGAGTCTCGCAGACTTCTGCCCGGTCTGCGAGGACAACTTGTTCATCGTCGACGCAGAGAATGATCTGGAATTGGCTGACAGCTTGGCCTGCTCAGACCATTCCTTGCGCAGCTGGTCGGCCCTCTCCCGCTGGTTGCTTTCCTCGAGCTTGAAGGCGGCATCCTTGGAGATGTGCTTGAACTCCTCCACCAGTCCCAACACCGCTTGGAACTTGCTATGCGCGGGCAAGTTCTCCAGAAACTCATCGAGCCGTTCGGCGAATGTCTCGACTTCCCTGCCCACGCGCTCGGCCATCTCGCGCAGAGGATTCAATGCTTCGTTGACATCGGGCCGCTCGCGCGTCGCGACGATTTCCTCATCGAAGGCAATGTCCGGTGTTGGAACGCGATCGTCGCTCCCTGCGTCGAGCAGTCCCCAGCTTTCTGAGGTTTCGCGAGGACGTGTTGGTCGAGGTTTGCGCGCCGGAGGTTTCTTTGCGACCCCAGACGTGTTCGCAGCCACTCTACGCGTGACCGGCGGCATCGTGTGTTGTGAAACTTGCGATGCGGTCGTCACGTTCGAGATGCAAGGGGAATTGTTTAGTGAATGCAATGTTGACTACTGAAGTTGAAGTTGACCTGGACGCACTTTCAGTGTTMATGCCACGCTAAAAGCCCGCTAGCTACACGAACGCGAAGGTTAATAAGTTGAAGGTCAAGAAAGTTGATGCCAAATGCGCTCACAAAAATAATCTCGCATGCTCACAATTGAGCTCTACACTACCAGTCGTAACTAACCCAGCTAGTGCCATGATGCTCAATCGCAGGGTAAACGCCTTGATGCGACGCTTTTTTTTACAGCACGATCCCGCTCCGCAATTTCCATGTACTCCATCGTCATGCCACATCGAATGACCGTTATCCCAAGTCTCGTGCTATCTCGAGTGGACTAGTAGACCTTCTTCTTTTCGTCGAAGCTGACCTGTCCCGGTCCCATATTCACCAGAAGCAACAGACCACCAACGATGGAGAGGATCTGGAAGAAGTCATACTTGGCAAAGTCCTTGTGCGGGTGGTGTGGGTGGAGCTGCGAGATAGTCTGTCAGTTCTCCGTGGGTCAGATCTTTGGGGGACCGGCGACGCTTACCGTCCAGAAGTTGTTCACAATAACGTTGAACACGCTCAGAATCATAACCAGCACAATCGCACTCCACTTCGCCTTGAAACCCACCGCGACCATCACACATGCCACAGCACCGATCGCAATCACAATCACACGGCCAAATGTCCACTCGCCCGCAAAGACAAAGCCAATGAACAGGAAGATGAGGAGAATTCTGCCGGCAAGCTGGAAGTACATTTTGCGATCCTTCTCGTCGAGCTGTGGAAGACCGGCAGGCGCGAACTTTTTGCGGACCCAGCTGTCGGAGAGCACCATGATCAGTCCGCCCATGACAGAAAGATTGCGCAGGAAGAAGTTGACGTCGAAGATGAGCCCGTAGCCCAGTGCTTGCGTAATCACAACTCCGATTAGACCGCATACCGCATACTCGCTGTACTTGCGAATGATGACGAGGATGCTGCTGCCGGTCATGGCGACCACGTTGATGAGGAGGAAGATGTGGTTGACACCCCATGGCACTGCGGGGAGAAAAATGGTCAATATCCGTGCTCTGCTTCTTTTGAAATCCCCAGAATGCACTCACTGTAACGGTAGGCATGTAGGTACTCCAACTGGTCGCTCCACTGCGTCAAAATTCTTAGAGCATCCTCCAAGAACGTGACAACAATGAGGAAGCGTCCAATGGCAGGAAGATATGGTTTGACTGGATCCGACCAGGTGTCCAGCATATCTTCAATCTTGCTCGTCTGCTGGCGKATCGCATCAAGTGGCGACGGGTCGTTGGTCGCGGATGAGCTCGAAGGTCCGCCAAAAGAGGACGACATGTTCTGGTTGCCGAGGTGGTACCCTGCCGTTCCTCTGATCTGCGCCATGTTTTATTTCTATGAATATCAGGAGAGTGCTTCCCGGATTCTAGCGACTCGGTGAGGAGGATGGTCTTCGGAAAGAAGTGTGGTGTGCGAGGTGAATCTTGTAGGCCCGCTCCCCGGTTTAATTTGGCGAAGCTTGGTGCTATGTTGTTGTTGTTATGGGTCTGCCCGTTACGACTTCAGGACAATTCGGTGCAGCGCGGTGGAGTTCGACGCGGAGAGAAGTGGATGTGGTGAAATGGAGCGAATGGCCAGGTCGCACAAGTAATAAAGCTAGGTATTGAGAACAATTGAGGGGAGACCCGCGGTGGTGACGGATGAAAGCCCAGCTGGCCTTTCTCCAGAGTTAAAATAGAATAGCTCCCGCTCGCGCACTGCAGCCCCGATCAAAGGATCTCGGGATTTCGGTCAAAGGTTCCAGGTTGTTTCTAGCAATTTGCTGTGCAACAATTGGAATCGGGAATCAGACACGTATTCATTTGGATGTCGTTCAACCTACAGCTAGTCTCCTTAAGAGCAGTAGGTGGCATCAATCAATGTGCACGTCTTCATTACGAAGCAACCTCCGGCATGGGACGCATGGGCATCGCTGCCCACGTTCCGGCCAGTTTCATTGTAGACTATCTTAGGTGTACACCACCGCGTCCACGCCTTGCTACGTACTCTTTGCATGCCATAGTACATGCATCGCCAATGCTTCCAATATTTTCTTCGTTTTTTTAAAACACATCGTCCGATGCTAGGCCCAAAGTGCAGAATCTGCGCCATTCCAATGCCCGTGATAGATAACCCTCCAAAATCCCATGGGGCGCGTCCTGTCTGCGTCTCGGCCTGCTGGCAGCCCTCTCGACAAACGTCTGCGTTTGTCGAGCTTGCCCCTCTACGGAAGCGGCAGGCCCACAGTATTCTGCGAACGACTCCTAGGGTGGTCTTTGCCAACATGGCCATGAACAAGAAAGAAAAGAAGGATGCGATGCTGAATCGGCCTGTGACGCCGCATAAGAAGATAGAGTAAGCACGGACTGCGATGTCGCAGCCGTTCATGCAGCCCAGTTGTCGACGTTGCTTGGATCAACGTCCTCTGCGCGGAGCTCGTACTCGTCCTTGAGTGCCTGGAAGCCAATCGGCTTGCCATTGGATGTCGTCTTAGGGGCAATGGCGGTCTTGACCACTGGTGCTGYGACTGTGGTAGTTTGGCCTGTCCCCTCATTCGAGKTGGACTTCTTCGTCTTCTTGTTGCTCTTTACCTCATTCCAGCCAGTTTCGCGTCCGCTTTCCGCGATGGCTTGCGCGTAATCGTCTTTTCCATCGGTGGATGTGGCGGCGGTGCTCATTATGTCGGCGTTGGAGCTACCGGTCGATTCCACGTCAAATGTATCAAGAAGCTGGGCGCTACCACCTGCCTTGACTGGCTGCTGTAGCTCACGGGCAGCATCCTGCTCCGACCAAGGATTGTGCACAGGAGCTGCGGGAATTGGGATACCATTTCTAGCCGCTTCACCGCGTCCTTCGCGGGCTGTGCGGCGCTGCTGTTCCTGTTGTGCTTTTCGTACCTTTTCAGCCTCCTCGCGAGCCAATCTTTCGTCCTCCTTCTTCTTGCGGTTCTGGCGTTGCTTCTTCGACTCAGTAACCACTTGCTTCGGCTGCTGGGTGGCCTTTTCCTTGGTTGGCTTCGTGGGTGCTGTGATGCGTAGCGCGCTTGGTCCCGGAGCACTGGATTCAAGCATGTCGTCAACGCCGCTTGACTTCAACGCGGGCGAGGCAACATGTGACCATTCATTCCCCGCATCGCCATTGTGAGACGAGCCAGAGGACAAGATAGGAGAATCCATCGTCTTCGTCTTGACAGTCTTGACACGGCTTTCCTTGCTGTCTGTCTTCTTCATGTCGACGCCCTCTCTGGCCTTCTTCATGTTCGCCGCGAACTGAAGAGTGCTCATGTCGATCGCATCTTCATCATCCTGCTCCTTGACTGGCGCTACCGGAGCCTGCTGAACGGGCTGAGTGTTCGCCTTCCGCTTGTTCTTCACGTTTCCCTTGCCTGGGGAGTCTGGTTTTTGCGTCTCGCCTGCAGGCTTGCTGGGAGCCGGCTTCTTGACAGCGGCCTCAACCTTCCGCGCTGTCTTTCTGACCTCACTCTTTGCTTGTTTCTTAACCTCACTCGGAGGAGCAGGCTTCGGAGCTTGCTTTGTAGTAGTCCGGTAGTAATAGCCTGCCAAACCAATGACGGCGATGAAACATAACCAACTGCTTACGGCCGCTTCCATGTTGGGCGTTTCGCGGTCAACTAGTTCGTCTGGCTGTATCGAAGCCTAGATCAGTCAGAGGACTCTGCTCGAGGAACAGATTGTGGGAACTTACGTTATGCCCTGCAGACGTTGCGCGAGCGGCGTTGGTGATGTAAGTTGTAACAACGGCAGAGAAAGGAGTGTTGTTGTGTTGCTTCCCTGTGCTACGGACACGAGACCGCCAATCGCCGGGCGGACGTGAAAGTTGCGAAGCAAGGGTGCAGCGGCTCTGTCGGAGATGGTCACAGTGCGCGTCCGGACTGAGGAATTGTCTTTGAACGAGTGTGGCGATCCACAATTGTGCTTGCGGACCGTTCGCAACGGAGAGGTGTGAGGTGCGAGGGATATGGCGTCGCGGCCGGCGACGAGACTAAGCGAAGGGGTCTCCCACTAGCGCCCCGTCCCTAGTGTGTCGGCTAAAGTAGTAGTACGAGGGGCGCTCGTGTGATGATATTTGGGGCGTGGATGTGAGCGGTGATGATTGGAAATTCTCTCGTCGCAGTCCGCTGTGTGTCGTTGAATTGGAGAAATGCTGTGGCCCGCGACTGCCCGTGATGGAGACACGGGTCAATGGTTCGAAAGCGCATCATCGTACCTTACCTTGCCTGAGGTCATCTGGCAACTTCACTTCTAAGGGTCTAGGATAYGATTCAGCTTAGAATCCACTGATGTATCCTTTTCCACCGCCTCAAAAATTCCCAGTAATAATTTATCAGCTGCTACTCACCTGTGGAATTGACACGAAGCGACGTCAATTCAACAGGCTTTTGATTTCGTGACCGCTTTCTTCACCATCGCGTATGGATCCACCAGCCCGACGTGGACATGGGTCCGCCCGATCTGCAACAAGCTCCGCCAGACATCATCTCCTCCGCCTGATGAGGACCTGGAGCTTCTACGCACTCTGGACTTTCGGTCAAGCTTGTCCGATTCAAGCGGAATGATGCCGTCCACACGTGCCTCTTGCCTAGGTGGTAATGAGCTTTTGCTACGCTGAAGACCTTCAGGTCTCCAAATTCACCCAAGACGCGTTGAAACGCCGCAGAGAGAGGACAACAAGTGTCTACCGCCAGCGGCACATCTAGAGCACCCTGCTCTTGATATCGAATCTATCCAAACATGCCACAGCGGTAACCACTAGCGCTTGCCGGCGCCGACACTGAAAGCGAGCAGCTGTCTCAATGGCACCACTTCCGACCTATCGAAACACACGTGCAGCCAAGGAGACAAGTTTGCTGCAGCGCGAACGGCTGCCGCCATGCGACTTCCTCATTTCATTCAACCATCAAACCCATCGCTTCTTCCATGTCGTCCAGCCCCTTTCACCTCCTACTGGGGACAAAGCATCCTGACGGCAAGGCGCTTTCTTCGGCAATACATCGGGTCTTTACAAGTTTGGTCATATCCCAGTCCGGTCCCCCAAGCTCCCATCCGCTGCTGGTATTCCTGCCATGGACTGGTTCCTTAGCTCAGTTGGTTAGAGCGTGGTGCTAATAACGCCAAGGTCGAGGGTGTAAGTTAAAACTCATGCCAAGTGGAGAATCGCAGTCGCTAATATCGCTTTCAGTCGACCCCCTTAGGGACCATGAATTCTTTTTGCATTTTTATTGTAAAGTTTTGGAGGGGGCTGGTCTTCACCATACCGAAGGCAAGACTTCGCTCCGCTGTGGACATGGTCTACTATCCGTTTTACTCCGTACGCTCCTTTAGACTGTACATATGGCGCAGGATAGTCGTCGAGGGTTTGACCCCCTTAGGGATCAGTTATGCTCTACCTCTCTTTTTGCTGATTTCCAGAGACTGTTGTAGCCATTCTCGCGATATCATCGAGCCAAAAGCTCATTGTTGGTCAATCGAACCAACGCCAAGACTTCCATTTTTGGCTCCATTTGAGACTGAGAGCAGACATAAGCCGACTGGCACGCAGGCATGTTGAGGAGCAAATACGCAAGATGACGAGCCTGAGAGTATCTCGGCTTTGACCCACAGAGACCGTGCAGGAGTAACATTTCTGCAACTCGAATACCTTTGGCAACCCTGCGTGGTCGGCATCAGGTTTGCTCTTCGAGAAGGGGTGTCATTTACTCATCGAAAGAGGACCCAGCACACCAGCCGCCGATGGCCGATTGGCCTGTCGTTCGATATGTAAAGTCAAGTTGGTTATCAACAGGTAGAACTTCGCAGTGCTTGATTGATCACTCCGTAGAACGAAGAGCACATATTTTAAGGTACAGCTAAAGCACCACTACCACATCGAGCTCGACTTTTTCACCACCTTCCTCCGCTCCTCCGCGTCGTCACTCAAACTCCTCAGCCCGAAAAAGCTCTTCTTCTTCGCCGGCTTGGAAACGTTTGAGCTGCTGCTCGCGCCAGGGTTAGCTCCACTCATCATAAGAGCACTGCTACTAGCAGACGGCTGTCCACGGCCAGGTCTTCCCGCTGCGAACTGTACATGCTGCGGTGTGGGCTTCAGGTACGGCCCGACGTTACTTGTCGGTCTGCCGTTTGACGGCGGGACGCCATACTGTCTTCGAAGCCGCTCGGTCTCCTTGTCAATCTCGGCCCGCTTCCGCCGTGCTTCCTTTTCTTCTTCTTCGACCATCCTCTGCAGACGCTTTCGTTCTGCTTCGTCTGCCTTTTCACGTTGTCGCTGACGATCTTGGGCTGCTTTGGCTTCTGCCTCGGCCTGTGCCTTCAACCTTGCCGTTTCCGCATCAAGCTCCCATTGCTTACGGGGGTCTGCTAGAGGAGGCGGTCGAGTCGTTCTAGGCGGCCGTAGTGGCATTTGTTGAGGKGGCGTGGTCTGCAGGCGTGGTAAAGAGGATCGCTTCTCATCGTTCCGGTTTTGTGGGAAGTTTGAAGCTTGCTTTTGCTGTCCAATTACTGCAGTAGGTGGTTGCGTATTTGTGAGTCTTCTTCCAGATCCTGACAATTTCCGGTCTGCTGGAGTGCCTGAAATGTTGAACAACTCATGCATCTGGTCTTTGTGGGCGAAATACACATCCTTGATGACAATTGCTGAAAGTAACAGAACGACCTCCAGACCTTTTGGATCCTCCATATCCATTCGCTCCATGTTCGGTTCGTAGATTGTCAGCTCACGCATGCTTCTCCACAGTGCAATTGCAATATCCGGATCTCGCTTGCTCTTCTTCTTCTCAATCGTATCCGTACTTTTGCCGGTCATGAAGCATGTCAGCTCCTTGCTGAGCTTGCTCTCCCTTCGCCATACAAAGTTCACTTTGGGGGTAATGGCCAAGCTGGCGGGATCGCTCTGTCCGCGGTCGAGATTACTCGCAGAAGGCGTGCGAAAAGAGGTCTGCGGCATGCTGAACTCGTATCGCTCGCTGCCACCCCATTTACCCTCTTTGATCTCCACTCGCACCTGCATGTCGGGGTTGTACAACTGAATGGAGAACTCGTTGGGCAGAATTGGCTGCGGAGGGGGAGTGATGCCGTCGTGCCGTCTTAACTCTTCGGCAGATATAGTGGGCGTTGTCCATGACGGAAGCATCAGCACTTCGGCGTACAGTATCTCCGGATTGAAGGCATCGAACAAGGCTGCACCGTACGCATTCTTTTGGATGGGTGCTGGACTGGCTGGGTCTGCATTGTGTAAGGTGTACGCTGGCGCCGGATCACTTCCACGATGGGAGAGGTATATGTCGCGGTGATGCTTGATTCCGGATGCAGACGGTTTGAGGAAAAAGGCAGGTAGATTTTCGTCGAGCATCGCGACGTTTCGAGGATGTCGCGGTGATGGAGCTTGGATTCAGGTCACGTCTGCTTGCCACCTGCACATGCACAATCCACAGCGGTCATAAGGAACTTCTCGGCCGGTCGTTTGCTGGATATTTGTGCTCGGCATCGTGTGACGGATACACGATCAACCCATGAAGAGCTGAGAGACAAGACTGCGGCTTCGCGTATGACGAAGAAGCMAAATTTAGGACGCTTGCGCTTCGGTGATCGGCGGCGATCGGACGCAAGCGTGATGGGCGAGCATGACCTGTGAACGTTTGTACAACCACAATACCTTAGTGCACAATAGTGTGCAGCGAACGACATCGCACATTAAGCTCATCGTTCGACGTTTAGCATTTTCATGGCGGGTTGGTGCCACGTGTGGGAACCTGTCAGCAGCATGCTAGCAGCTCTAACAACATCTGCCATGTCTTCATGTGTGGTGTTAGGAGTAGGTATCGCGGCCACGGACCACAACACGTACGTGCATCCTTGCAACCTACGTAGCACTGCCTTCTCTGTCTTGGGATCTACCGAATATCAGGCTCCGGAATCGGGACGTTGTGTTCTACAGCGTGCTTCCATCCGCAATTGATAGCATTCAGGACGAAGCCACTACGTAAAATAAGCCTCGACGAACGCTCCTTGATAGGTACCTAAACTCTGTCATAAAGCTAGGCGGATCTTGAAAGGCGCGCTGGTTCTTACAGTCGTTTCACCCAAGTCCTCAAGGTGCGCGCGGAACGCCAGTTCATTCCACTGATATTTTCGCATCAATCTGTTGAAGATCTCATCATCGCCGGCCGCAATAAGGACGGCAGCCAGTTTAGGCACGTGAAATGAGGATGTAAGATGTAGTCCAAAGCCGCACGTGTGCCATTACCTCCATGTCTATGTGCTGCTCAGCCACTCTTGACAGCGGGACCTGCGATCTAGTCTGCGCTCTGTCTGGTGATTAACGGGAGCAAGGTGTTAGGTTGGATGGCGAGACAAAGGTGGATGTATCTATCGTGGATCATCCAATAACGGGAGCCCGCTGACGTTGGACTGACTCTCCGATTCATGCGAACGAGTTTCTCTAGGGCTGTATCGGTGCATCTTCACCAGGCTGTTCCCCGCCGCTGGTTTCAATGCCCTCCAGTTCTTTTCAGCTTCCCACTCGTCACTGCTGTACTGTAATTTGAACCAGGAAAGCTTTGAAACGTGCTGACGCCATCTTGCTCACACTCAACTTCACACTTTCTCTCTCTTCACATCATGAGCAACCTGGACGACCACGCACCACGCTCCCGCCGTGACAATCGACCAGCACCACCCTATCCATATCCCAGCGACGGCATGAATGCCAACGACGACTACGGCTCTGACGTGCGCGGTGGCCGCCCCCACGAAAACATACCGCCCGCGCCGCCGATCGGCGACGGACTGAAGCCGGCAATGAAGCGGGAGGGAAGCCGAACTAGACTGGCGCCTGACACTCGACCTCAATTCCCAGACGAAGCATCCAACGCGCCCGACTTGGAGCGCAAGAACCATCCTCGCGATCGTCAGYTTCGTGACATGCGCGACGGGTACGAAAGTGAAGAGGGCGAGGCGCACAAACATACGATGGCACCAACCCGCCGGCACACGGACGACGATCGACCTCGTGGACAAGATCCCCGGAGCCGTAGGCCGCATGATCGCGACCCACCGTATCCACCCCCTGACGGCGGACGGAGAAGAGGCGGCTACGACGACGACGAGCCACCACGTCCCAGCCGGAAGAAGCGAGATCCATACTACGACGATGATGCTCGGCCACCACGTCGACGGGGAGACCGGCCGCCGCCAGATATAGAGTATGGCTCTGATCCAATTCCGGCCCGGCGAGGCAGTGAGCGTAGACCCCGCAGACGCCAGGATGACTACTCCGACGAAGAGGAAGACTATCGGCCGAGGAGACGTCGCAGCGCCGAAGACAGTCGCCGCCCTTTACGGCGCGACGATGAGCTCGACTATCACTCAGACAGTCGCCGACGCCGCGATGACCCATACGACGACCGTGATCGACGACGAAGGGATGATCGCTCACGGCGTAGGTACGATTCCGACTCCGATTACGACAACTACAACAGAAGCGACCGACGAGACAAGGACAGGCGTCGCGGCGAGAAGCAGAGTAAGCCCGTCATGGTGGGAAAATTCGATGTCGGCCCGTGGCTTGAGAAGGGCCAGAAGCACTACGCAACCCTCGCGCCGATTGTCACTCCGCTGGTCATTAACATGGCTCGGAAGTACATGAGTAGCCAGAGTGGTGGAAGTGGTGGCAGCGGCGGAGGAGGACGGCGTTGAGCGATATGATTCATGTCAGTGAGGGTGTTCTTTTTGGGCGTTCACGGGATTAGAGGCACACAGAGACACACGGCTGATGGTAATGACGCGTGGAGGATTCGATAACTGATACCTGACACCTAACATGCATTGGAGTTTGGATGTTCTTGCTCCTGTTGCTTTCCAGCCCTCCACTCTGTGAGACGCGACCTCCCATCGCTGGGTCTGTTGCAAGTAGCTTGTGGATGTTTAGAGCTCAAAATTGGTCACAGACCTTCGAATGCTGAAAGAGTAGGTTCCTTCCGTTCCTACGTTGCACTGGTGGAGCGACAGGGTTTCTCGCCTCTGCAGGCACCCATATCGGAGATCCACTTCTGCCTTGATGTACCGTTTGTTCCATTCCAATTTTTCTCCCACTCCCTCCCACTTCCCCACCATCCTGAATCCATCTTCTCGCGCAGCCTCCACGCCAGCGATCAGTTGAAGAAAAACCGCGGCGCGTGGCAAACACGCGAATTCAAGATGACGCGCTACGTATCGATTGCCTACGAGCAAGAGGAGCTCGGGGAGAAGCATGACCTAGGCTGGTAAGTCGTCTTCGGTCCACAGTTCACTCGCATGCACTGACCGTCTGGTATTCTCAAACAGCAAATGCTGTCGCATGCGCACGGTGAGCATCTACATGCCTTTCCCGCAAAACTTCCGCTGACCGGCTGAAGGGTGCCGATTTACCAATCCCTTCTGGCCTAGACATTGACGAGATCGCGGTGGAGGCGCGTAGATTTCGCATGTCCATATTCCGCGACTGGACGAGACTCAACGCCATTTTGAAGCGCTTCGAGTTCAAGATTCAGAAACGCTGGATGTAAGGGCAATCTGCATGACTTGTCGAGGTGGTAACACTGACAGTCACGGCGTAGGAAGAAGAGCATGAAGCAGAAGCGTGAGATATTGCTCAAGGCCCGACCCGAACTCTCCATAACTCACCGTCCGGACTACGTGAACTTCCGGAACATCAGCAAGCAGGCCAGCAGGTCTCGAACATGTCGAAGCGAGGCGTTCTTGTGGCCATATCTCAATGTGGAAGACTTGCAGCAGCGTCATCTGCTTCTACTCTTTTTGAAATCGCGCGGTCGCAACTTGGTGGGTCGATCTACACACTATAGTAATCAAGTACACAGATGATTGACAGTTTGCACAGCCTGACATTTTCCGCATAAGTGACATCAATCTCGCACACCTTGGCCCAGGATGGGACGATCACGTCAACCTGTCTGCGTTGGGAGGATTCTGCTGCGACGAGCACTTCGACGACACTCCGGACATCCCGCAATCATGCATGCTCTTCCAGAAGAAACACTCGCCCACAGCATACGGTCAAGTGCTCGAGGGCAAGGATGTTGAGCTTCTAGACCCCAGCCAGTTCCCCTACATACGTGATGCGAAAGAGGGCTTGCTATGCCTGGAGATTCAAGCGGGGACGTACAGCTTCTTGCTCGCGTGTGCGAAGCTCGTTCTGCACGACATAGACGCCTCCGTACTCTTCTTCACTGCAGCACACCAGCAGGAGCCATCGGTGGACCATTTCACTCGTCCTGAGTATCACTCCTTGACTGGACACTTTCTGGAAGCTCCATATGGTGTGCCACAGGCTCTCGACATTGCACGATTGAAGAACCTGGTTGGCGGTAGACGCTCGTCAGCAGAAGATCACATATGGATGCTAAAGGAGAACCCCGCCTATTTCGTTGATACGTATAGAGATTGGGCCGAACACAATCACCATCGGCCTCACAAGATCTGCAACTGCAAGAACTGTCGCGATCACATTGCGGCCCGAGTGCTGGATAATGCATTCAGATCCTTCATCTACTGGGACGACATCTATCGCAAGCTCTGTACAATGCCTACTCTCAAGGTCCAGATGAGTCGCGCAGACGAGTCTCGAGTGAGACTTGCGGACGAAGACTGCGAACGCTGGGCTGCTTTGATGGTGTTGTCTGGCAGATGTTAGCCGTGCCGATGGGATTGCTCAAGGACGGTCTGCCCAATTCACCTCGAATGCGCAGCCGTTATTCATGGTCAGAAGAAGTAGGCCACGAAGGAGACTGGGTTTGTCAACCATAAGAACAATTGAGACCAGCCACTGACTCCACTCATCTGTAGGTCCTGCGTCCGAAATCAACCGATGCAGAGAGTCGAATTCACATTCTGTTCGGAGCGATAGAGAGAGGCCGACAGACATGGTACAAGACGGTTCCAGGACTGGTAGAGGAGGTACAATATGTATGTCGATGCATGCGGACATGATAGATAAAAAAAACTGACGATAGCACAGATGCTTGAAACTGACTTCGAGGCATCTCAATACCTCGATGATTGGCTCTTGAATCAATACGCTGATCTTGCCTTACTATGCGAGCTCGGAAAATCGATCAATCTTCTGGCACCATGGTTCGATCATACTACGGCGGAGTTGCTAATCCTTGACAACATCTACGAGCGCAAGAGAGAAAAGGTTGAGATATCAGCCACCAAGCTCAGAGATGGCATCTACAACGCAACTGGCACCAATTTGGGCTGGAATCCACTCGACAAAGCAGGCAAAGCGCACGAGTATCCGAGCGAGAAGCATAAGAGTAAGGTCAATGTGGAAAAGATGCGGGACGCCGAGAAGCGACTGGACCTGTTATGGAAGCGTCTGGAGAAAGCCGTGGAGATTGATCAAGCTATCAGCCTTAAGAAGGTCCTCAAGCGGCGATCGCTAGACAAGAATCCGCGAATTCTATACAGAACTCCTCCATGGAAGGAAGAAGCAAGTGTCTCCCCACTGTTAGAGACGGGAAACTCGTCCACAGTCCTCGGCGAGACCGACGGGAACGTCCCTCGTTCGGGTAAGGCTTTCCTTACGGATCTTGCGGAGAAAGTCAAAACACGTGGTGTGGCAGCAGGAGCATATCATCATCCAGCGACTGGTCGAGCTGAGGATGCACCACCACCGGAGCCAGAGGTGGCACCACCAAAATTTAAGCTTGGCAAGAAGGCGTATAAGATATGGCTTACCTTGCTCCCTTCGGTAGAGTCGGCGCAACACCCTCGTCCCGAGCTCGGATGGGATGAGCTACTCTCTGGCATGAGAGCGATTGGTCTGGAGCCTGAGAAGCTATATGGTAGTGTCTGGTCATTCTCTCCGGTAAAGGATCGAACGCTGTTTCCCATCAACCGCAGCATTCAATTTCACGAACCAAAAGAGGTGCGAAAGGGTGGAAAGATTCCGAAGCCCATGGTCAGGACGTTCGGAAGGAGGCTTCGCCATGCATTTGGTTGGGAGTCAGCCGAGGCAATGTTTGAGCTGGAACAATGATGAGAAGTTCGATTATGAGAGATGACATGAATGGATAATTGCCACAAGTACCCCTTACTTGCGTCTGAGCCAAGGGTCATGAAGTGGTGGTGTTTGCAGGTGCAATGTCACAAGGATACGTCGCTGTTTATACAGTATCAGAATTTTCGCTTGCTATTGCACGAAGCAAATCTGTTCGCAATATTGAATTGTGGATTATTCAAGGCCTACTAGAGCAAAGTCTGTCATTCGACGATCGTGTTCGAGAACTAGGGGAACGCGGCCAGTAAAGGCCACGTAGAATGCAGCTCGCTTTAACTCCGGCCTATCCGTATAATAACAACCTAAAATCTTAGATATTTATTACATCTAGACATTTGGCCTAGTGGTTAGGGCGTGTTAGGATTGAGGAAATGCTAGGTGGAGGCCTAGTTTAAAACTTCGGACATATAGGGGTTCTAGTTGCCGGAGAAGCCTAGTAGTCTCGTTTCTATTACGAGATTAGGGGTTCAATTCCCTTAGTGTTCAATCTTCTTTTTGTTCCTTTTTTAGGAATATTCTTTTTACTATAAAAAGGACTTTAGTCTTTTTTACTATTAGGAGGACGTATCTTACTTATAATATACCTGTTCCTTAACGGATTTACTTTAAAATTTGATATTAATAGTAACGTTAGTAATAAAGGAGGGTTATATACTAAATTCTATATATATTATAGATTAGTAATGTTTAATACTAATCCACCTTCTCGGCGAATAGGCTAGCGATAGCGAGGTATATATTTAGTATATTCCGAGTAGGCGAGGTCCGTAGTAAGCATTCGACAAGACTCGTGTTAAAACTTAGAGTAAATCGGTCGAGAGACAGCTAAGTTCTAAATAAGGGGAGGAGAGGGGGTAGAGGGAAATAATCCCTAACGCCTAAAATAGACTTCCGTAGCCCGTTTCTTAGCCGTTTCTTAACCGATTCGTACGAAACTTGAATCCTAGAGATAATTTTAGGGGATAAGAAGAACAGTAAACTCGGTTTTACCTAATACCTCCTCCTTCCTCGCCGACGGTACCCCCCCTCGACGTAGTAAGGGCGGCGACAGCGAGGTATATATTTAGTACATTCCGAGTAGGCGAGGTCCGTAGTAAACATTTAATAAGACTCGCGTTAAAATTTGGAGTAAATCGGTCGAGAGACGACCGAGTTCCGAATAAGGGGGGGAAAGGGGAAGAAGGTAACCCTAT